CACTGGGAAACGGACTCAGTTGTGGCAGGATCCGCGTTTTGCCCGAAATTAACCAATAATTTCACAACATCTTGACGTGACTAGATTGTTTATTATGTAATTTGAATCCTAAGGTAATATTACCAATCTGCATGTGATTTTAAGTGTTTATAGTGTATTTCGAGTGATTCTGGGGAATTTGGAAGATTTTTTATTAATCTGACATATTATTATATCAAATTGTTAAGATGTATATTGTGTGAGTCTGGTGAAATAACCAGACGAAATGGTGATATAAGCATCCAGTTTTTCCTAGCCACATCCCAGGCGTGTTATTTCTAATGGTCGCTATTGTGTCTGATCAAGCACATCAGACTGGGAAAAATGCCTTTTGATTTGATCTAAGATCCTTCAATGGTCAATTATAATTCACCTAAGCGCAGTTATATACAAAGATTTAAGTTGACTTATCACATCCTTAAACCCGCCACACACGACAGCTGTACGTGCTGAGCAAAAAGTCATTCGAGGCCGTTTACTCAGCACGTAGCTCACAAAATATCTCCATGTGCGGTGAGTTTTCTGCCTCGCAAGGCCGTTCTGAGGAAAATATCGTTCCTGTTTGCTTTATTTGGCCTCGCGAGGCAAACTTAACTTATTAAGTTTCCCTTTAAAATCGTGTGCACAATAATTAATGACCATTCATTTCAAAAATCAAGTATTAACTTTTTTTAAAAGAAAAGTTCGGAAAGCACTTCGCCTCTTAAACGATGTTGGTCTGTTCAGGACTAATGTAAACCCCGTGAATGTAGGTTTATACAAACCGAGATGTACGTGACGGAGACTGCAGTCAAATACAGGGTGAGTAAAAAAAAAAGAAGGATACCCATATGGCCCTACAATTCGTCGCAGAGCTGACATACCGGCGAATCGACCATTTTGGCGATTTCGAGATTTTGTTAGTATTTTTAGGGTTTATAAAGGTTGCTCCTTCAAGTATTTATGCCAAAATTTTTATTTCTTGTCTGGATTTTGAGATTCGGAGCCCCCTGTGGCGAATCAGTCACAAAAACAAATCCATAATTTGACATACTGACGAAAACAGAATTTCGCTGGTAACCAGCTTATGTAAGGTGTGCGTTCAAAGTACCAACGAATGTTATTCGTCAGTTTGTCGGATTGCGCGCGCGTGCGCGCGCGATCCAACAAATTGACGAATAGCATACAAACATTTCTTTGGTAACCAGCTTATGTACGGTGTGCGTTCAAAGTACCAACGAATGTTATTCGTAAGTTTGTCGGATTGCGCTCGCGTGCGCGCGCGATGCGACAAACTGACGAATAGCATACAAACAGCGTGAAGATCAACCGGCTATTAAAGATTTTTGTAATTTGACGAACTGACGAATACGTTTGCGTTCAAATAAAATCATATTGCACAACTTTCCTAATGAAATAATTGACCTGATTGATACCACGTTTCCTATTTTATTTCGAATATACACTGAAAGGGTTATTATCGAAACATCAAGGCTAAATACGACGCCCAGAAATGTCCAACTTCAAACGCGAATTACTCGAAACAGGGTTTTCGCTTGTTCGTCGGTATTTCAGCTCTGCGAATTTTTAAATTGAACTTCTGCATGATAGCACTTTCAAAATCTAAGATATAAAACCCAATTAATAAGCTTTCATTTAGTACAAGAATCATTCATATCAATTATGTGCTTTTCAAGATACGGGATTTTAAAACAGCCACCGTATTAAAGTTCTGTCCACGGATCACAGAAAGGTAAGTGCTCTTTCAGCAAAACGAAAACAATTCACGCACATCCCTCTGTGAATTGTTTTTGTTTTGCTGAAAGAGCAATTACTTTTGGTGATCCGTAATCAGAACTTTAAAGCAGTGTTTTTGTTTAAAATTCCGTAACTTGAAAAGTACATGAGTGTCAGATTTGAATGATTCTTGTACTTAAAGAAAGCTTAATAATTTTTATTACAAAAATGGTTCTGCTATTTTGGCTTCCTTTTTTTTTTTACTCACCCTGTAGAGTTCACATTATAGCTGTACTGTGGGAAAAGAAATCAACAACTGGCAAGTTGGAAACCTCTGAGTCGTAGGTATCGTTAGAAATGTGAGGAAAGACTACAAATTAAATAAAACCGATATCAAATAGTATGTTAATCGTCCAATTTATATACTAAGTTACTTGTCTAAAATTACGTCAGGCTCCCTGTTTTCTAGATCCACATTATTACCAGGAAGTAGTTGTTACTTTCGATCGCATTTCAGTATACGTTTTCCCTGTTATGACCATGACATTGTATCATTTCAACGAATATTTAAATCGGCCCACTTCCTTTCAAAAATACTTGTCTAAATTGTTAATTGTCAAACTCGGTGACGGATCACCCCGTTCACCGCTGACTATAATATTATGATACCTGAGAGCCAAAAATAACGTTAAAAAAACCCTAGAGATTCGCGTTTGTTAAGTTACAAACGCAAGATGATTGGGCAGGCAAATACATTGGACAGAAATACCCAGTTAAGTTTTAAATATTTATTTTTTTCAAAAACGACGAAACTGAACCTTTTCCAGTGGCACCTTATTTTTAATGTGAGAAAAATGCGTCCTTTTTGATATATTTCAGTATACATTTTATTTTCACATACATATTATTTTCGGTCAGATGACTTCACATACAAATTATTTCCTGTTTGATGACGTCATCAGTTCAAAATATGCAGACGGAATATTGATGTACGTAGTTCAGAGGGATACATATTCATCATGAAGTGAAAAGAAGGCCAGCATTGTACTAAATACCTTATTTTTGCTACAAACAAAGTTATTCGACACGGAAAAAATGATGGGTTTGAAATTTATTGAAATGTTTTATAAATGGCTTATTTTTGGGGGGATAATTTTGAAGTTAATTCTCCCTACACTAACTTGCGGTCTGATAACGTCATGATTCTCGCAAAACCATCCGCGGTTCTCCAAGGTATAACTACGTGGAATATGGTGATATTTTGACAAACACTTCTTTTAATTTAAAAAAGGTGAAACTGTCTTTGCCCTACCGTTAAAGGGCGCCATATCGGCTTTTTAAATCATCAGACAAACTGGCATTACTCAGTGTTCATGTGCCTCATTTATATAACTGCAGGTCAGCATTGTATCAGATACCTTATAATGTTCAAAGAACAAAGTCATTCCACAGGGATAAAATGATGGGTTTGAAATTTATTTGAAATTTCTATTTTTAATGGCTTACAAAAAAAAATGTGGTAATTTTGAAGTTAATTCTCCCTACCCTAACTTCCGGTCTGATGGTGTCATGATTCTGAAATAAAACCATGCATTGTCGTTTGCGGTTGTCCAAATACTTCAGTTTGACAAATCAATTATTAAAGTAAAAACAAATGAAACTGTCTTTAGACTGCGTTAGAGGGCGCTCATTCGGATTTTGACGTCATCAGAGTAACTTTTGTTTTGGTATTCCTCACTGTTCATTTGCCTTCCGTTTTCAAGTTATACTCAAATCTCAATAAACGTCCGGTAACACCAGAAGTAAAGGTCAAATGGCTTTATGCGTGGGAATCCAAGATATTGCCTTAGGCAATGTTTACCACAGTACAAAAATCGGAACGGTACTCCATTCATTTAACAAGTTATAGTTCAGAGTAAATTTTCAAATTTAAAAGTTTAAATCGCTTTTCCCAAAATAAGTTTTGGTCATTTATCATACTATTTCAAATTTGGTAAAGCCATTTCAGCCCCGGGTCAAATATTGGTACTGTACACTTGTATTTGGTAACTGCTCTCTGAGTTAAGCACACTTATTTGGCTTGAGTTAATTGGCCTGATAACAACATGCGAACAAATGTGCCGAATTGTGCTCAAGGCTGCAAGGAAAATGCTTTAGCACACACCAAAGTAATTTATTTAACAAGTTTTAAATTGATTGACATAATACGATTTCGATATCAAAATGCTGTCATTCGAATTCAGTCTGTATTGACGAATATTTGCAAATGATAAATGACTTAATTGATATTGCGAGAAGCAACTGATATTATTCTTCGACAAAATTGAATATAAGAATTAGAATTCAACACCAGGAAAAACTACATTAAAAAAAAAGTTTTTCTTTATGATTTTTAAAAGATAAAAAGATGAACAAAGATTTTTAAATGTGATAACGTGTTGATGCTGCTCTGCGCTATCACGCGATCGCGCAGAAAATGCACTTGCACGATGTCAGATTTGCGTGCCTTTTTCAAAACTATCATCCAGAGCCATGAATTTAGACAGAAAAGGTGATCGACTGATGGGTGCACCCACGCAAATATATCCCCATAGACACCAGTGTTACATCGCCATACTTCAAGAATCTTTAAAAAAAAAAAATACTCAGAACTCCCACAGGTACAGCTGCACAGAAAACGATGATCAACATGTGTAACTTTCATTTTCTTTTCAATTTTTGGTGGGTTGACTGATGACTTTTTGAAGAAATTCTCATCCAAAGAAGATTACCCCTAAAACAAAAGATGTTTTTCAAACTGGAAAAGTAGCCATTTTGAAAAAAAGGATCCCCCCACAAGATGGCTAAATAGCACCACTTTTGGACCCAATTGCATCCAAAATGCTCAGAATTGGAAGCCCCACGTCCAGGCAAGAGGTACAGTGCCATAATGTCTTCGATTTCCCAATTCCAGGGCTCTCAGAACTCTCTAATATAGAAGGATTTGAGTGTATAGCTTTTGTACATGAGCTCGGCGGACGGACTTTTAGACTTTTTACTTGGTTGCACCCTGATGGTGGCACGATCGACCGATGGCGGCAAGATCGACAGAAAGCGCAGCGCGATCGCCCGATCGCCCGATCGCGCCTACAAAAATTTAAAGCGAACAACCTTCCAATTGACCACAATGTGCACGATGGGAAGTTCACGTTTTTGCATTATTTCCACTGTTAGGTACCGGTATACAACCGTGACAGCAAAGCATGATGAAGCGTCTGGTTTTTCTGATGCTGTTCCTGGTGCCATTAACTGTCAATGGTCAGTGAAGTTTTTTTTATATAGGATAATCACATAATCCAAAATATTTTAGGCTATTGATGATGTGGTATTGGATTAGTCGTACGAAAAACTTCACTTTAACTAATATAATCAGGTATCCAGTGAAATCGTTGCGCCATGTTGTTATTTATAACAAAACACATGAAATTTGTTTCGTATCCCGACGACTTTTGGTTTGGAATTAGTTATTCCATGTGTTTACCACACAATATTGGCCAAAATTAACTGTTGGATAATTACATTACAAGCGGACATTATGTTCCTAATAAGTGAAAATCATTATGGTTGCCTGCGGTGACCAAAAAAAAGTCGTCCACAATGTAAATTTCCATGAAGGCTGGACCATTGGGCATTTGCGAATGTTTTCGTTTTTATTTTCACACAGTTCATTCTCAGCATGATGGGTTTACTTGCGATCCAGTGGGATACGACTACCATTGTCAGGGTAAGTAGTGAGTCAAACGGTATGGTTCTTTCGCAGAAGAGTAGTTTTAAAATACCCTTGCCCAATTTCATGGCGAAGAAATATCTCGCCATAAAGTGTAACAAAAAATCCCGTGTTTACGGGTAAGCACATTCCATGGGTTGGCGGGATTATGGCTTATGGGCATGCGTATAGCAAGACAACTTTTTTGTTCATTATGGGTGCGTTCGAGCGTGCTACTCGTGTTAACGCGAGTATATTCCTGAGCGCACGAACGGCAGGGGTACGACCCGCGGGCTAGCAAGAGTATGCTCTCCGTCATACCGGGAGTATTAGTGGAGCTGCTTAGGTCCATTTTTGGCCAAAATCGTGCACTTTGTGGTAAAAGCATGAAATTTGGCATGCGGGGTCGCAATGAGCTAGAAATCATTTTAAGATCGGGACCCATCCTGGATTTTGCCCATTTTGGGGGCGGAGCTTAATTTTTTGAAAAAGGGGGTGCAAACAATAAAAACTGTATTTAACATCCATTTCCCTCGTTTTTCTATGCGTTAAAGTAAGCTTAAACATAAAATAAGACATTCTAGCTTGTAAACACCTGTTATTTCCCACCCATTTTGTGGGCGTGGCCTAAATGTGTAAAAGAGGCGGTATATATTTGCAGTTTGGTTCAAATATATAAAAATACCATTCAGTTGGGTGGTAAAATCTTGAAAATTGGCATGTTTAGTCGAAATGGGCTGAAAATCATTTTAAGAGGTGGACCCATCTTGGATCTTGCCATTTTGGGGGCGGAGCTTGATCGGTTAAAAAGGGGAGTGCAAACAAATAACAATTTAGAAAAACTGTATTTAACAGAAGTTGTGTTTTTACCAGCAAAAGTGATGATTTTCCCTCGTTTGAATCAAGCTGCTCAAATGTGCGGCCTCATTTTCATATTTAGGCCACACCCACAAAAGGGTAAAAATAACAAGTGTGTGAAAGTTGGAATTTTTTTTTATCATGCCTCTGTTTATTTAAAAGCATGAAGAACAAAGGAAAATGGATGTTAAATACCATTTTTCTAAATTTTGCACTCCCCTTTTTAACCGATCAAGCTCCGCCCCCAAAATGGGCAAGATCCAACATGGATCCACCTCTTAAAATGATTTTCAGCCCATTTCGACTAAACATGCCAATTTTCAAGATTTTACCACCCAACTGAAAGGTATTTTCCATATTTGAACCAAACTGCTGACATATACCGCCTTTTTTACACATTTAGGCCACGCCCACAAAATGGGTGGAAAATAACAGGCGCTAAAACGCTAGAATGTCTTATTTTATGTTTAAGTTTATTTTCAAAGCATAGAAAAACTAGAAAATGGATGTTAAATACAGTTTTATGAGTTTTTATTGTTTGCACCCCCTTTTTCAAAAAATCAAGCTCCGCCCCCAAAATGGGCAAAATCCAGGATGGGTCCCGATCTTAAAATGATTTCTAGCCCATATTGACCCCACATGCCAAATTTCATGCTTTTACCACAAAGTGCACGATTTGTCGCTTAGCAGCTCCACTATATACTCCTGCACCGAGAGTAATGCGCACGCAACATTTTCCTGCACTCAGGAGTAGCAAGAGTAACACGCTCAAACGCACCCTATTATTTTGGGGGCTCACGCAGGTAGCACATAATTTGTTAATCCTCAGCACAGAATGCTGTGGTTAGCAGAGTTATGGCATCTGAGAGTCTATGTCTATGAAAGACAGAAAAAATGAGCTAGCACAAGGTCAAAGTTCTCAAGGTCAAAGGCTCGCTTTGTCGGAGCGAAAGTAGCACAGCAGCAGCAGAGACTGAAAGTTGAGCCAAAGTTAACGGAAGAACCTGGCATCAGTACAGTCCTCCAGCTTGTGGGTTCGCCAACATTTCCAACAACGCCCCTTAATTGTCGTCGATTCAACTGACGATCTGGTCAGTGCTTATAATTGTTTAACCTCTAGGCATCCACCAAGATATTAATAGATTTGTCACAGTATGAACAATGCGTTTTACGTTTTTTTATTGGGTTTGTCCTTTTTTGTTCAGTGTCTAGACATGGTTGTATAGCCAGTCAGTCAGTCAATCAATTCTCAACATTTCTGAACAAGTTCAATATTTCCATTGCTCACAATGTGTACAATCTTGTACAAACACAAAAAGGATGAATAAATGTACAGGGTGAGTAAAAAAAAAACCCGAAACCCAAATGTGGGGACTATTGTTCTGTCCACGTACGGATCACAAAAAAGTGTGCGTTCTTTCAGCAAAACGAAAATAATTCACACACCGTTCCTATGTGATTTGTTTTCGTTTTGCTGATCCGTTGACAGAACTTGTAAACGGTGGTTGTGTTTAAAATTCCGAAACTTGAAAATTGCATGAGTGATTTGAATGATTCCTGTACTGAAAGAAAGCTTATAAATTGGGCTTAATGTATCAATGTGAATCCAACATAACGCATGGGGAAAACCAATTATTACACCACAATTCATTGTCTCCTGAGTTTACTGTTTTGAGTTTGTGTGATCCTGGTTTATTCAACTGGCGCACAGTAGTGATGGTCGGGGGTTCCTGGGGCGGGGGTTCCTGTTACCGCACTATAATTGTGATTTACGCATTTCGCAGATATCGACGAATGTCTTAAAGGAACTGATGATTGTCACGATAATGCTGGATGTACAAACACTGAGGGGAGTTACACTTGCTCCTGTAATACCGGATACAGGGGCAGTGGAAGGACTTGCACAGGTACAGTTCGATGGTTTTGTGTTTTGTTGTATTCCACCACCTAACCTGGGCATTGCTTCGTGCAAAATTTCGTGAAATTGGCCGCAAAATGGGCAGTAGGCAGTATTGTTCAGGTGCGTATGTGACAATTAAATTTGCAGACCTCCATCCCAGAAGATAATAATTTCAATCTTATTATGCCGACAATACTGAGAAAAACTAAATTGAACACAAATACTTTATTGATCAATTGTTAATTAGCTTTGGAATCGTTTGGTAACTATCGTAACTATACCATTTGGGAGACATTTTAGAGTCAGAAGTTTAATCTTTGGGAGACATGACTATTTCAATGCCTCCCTATAATTCCTCAGCTCCTATTAAGAGGCAACATTTATTGTCGTAAATCAACTAGATTGATTGCTTGTGGTCCGCTTAGTAAAACTACCAAAAGTCATTGGGGCAGGATAAGGTAAAATTGGGGTTAGGGGTCAGCAAAGTCAGACAAAAATGTATGCACAAGTCTGTGGGAATGTCTCAAAGCTTGTTTAATCTTACTATACTCATTGGAGAGTATTAAAACTCAGTAGCAGATCTAGAAGGGACGGGATGCCAATTGTCAAAGGGCATGCCCCGGACCATGCACGACCCCCTTCGGCGCCCCTCATATAGACTCAAACCCCCTCCCCGTATATCAACCCCCCGTTTTCTGAAAGCTGGATCCACCCTGAAGCCTTACATGTTACTACGGAATTCTGCAAATGATGGACTCTAGCTTTAACATTACCGCTTCTTTATTCAATTGTAGGCTAGATTGCGACAAACAAAATAATGTCTCTGTTCACTAATCCTATGCCAGGAATCCTTTGTTTAAAAATCATGATTTCAGGTGCAAAACCATCATCATTACCAACTTCATAATTTTACCTTCAGTTTGGTAGACAATGACTGCTCATTTGTTGAATAATAGTACATTTGTCGAATAAAAGTACAGAACGCTTGGTAGCGTCACACTTTTCTTTAATCGTAAGTCTTTGGCGAAAAGTAATGAAACAAAGAGTATCAGCATTTCCCATATTTTACCTTCTCCCTGCACCAGTACTAGTTTTGAAATAACAACATAATATTTACATGTATATAACGATTACACTCAATCGTGATTGACTTGTGTAAACGAATTTTTGACGATTTGTAGATATTTTTTTTGTCTACTAGATGTTGATGAATGTTCATCTGGTCAGCATGATTGTCATGACAACGCTCATTGCGTCAATACTGCGGGAAGTTTTATTTGTAATTGCAGTGTCGGCTACAGATGGAATGGGCGTTATTGCACAGGTAGGTCCGCCGGCACCAATTGTCATGAGCTGTTTACAGATTGTTTGCTTAACACTTAAATATTTGTCTAACAAAACAAAAATAGCCTGCACGTCAAACGAGGTATATAGCTTCTGATCTTTGCATAGTTTGTAAGCAATATCGTATGCGTGATAAGCTATATTTTGAGCATGATAGCGTGGGAAGTGCCAATCGAGAGTGTATACTGTAACTATATCAACAGGATTATAATTATGTCAAACTGGGTTCAGTGTTCTTTTGGTTTTCTTTGTAGATATCAATGAGTGTGCCCTTGGAATTGACAGTTGTCATGTCAATGCTCAATGCAGCAACACAGCTGGCAGCTTCACGTGTATCTGTAACGCTGGTTTTGTTGGCGATGTCAACTTTTGTTCAGGTGTGTCTCTTGTGATTACATGTACAAGTAGATGAAGGCCTTCATCCAGTACGAGGTTATAATGTCCACTTTGCATAAAATCACGCATTCGAGTCATCGTTTGTGGTTAATGTCAGATCAGTATTGAAATGTTTAGTTCAATGTTTTTATTTTTTTCATTTGATAGATTCTGACCGACCTGTAATCTGGTCTAGTACCTGCCCTTCAGCACTGAATCGAACCGCAGGTCCTGGAAGCTCAACGGAAACAGTGACATGGACCAAACCGACAGCCACTGATTCAAGCGGCGTCCCTCCAACTGTTGAATGCACACCACCATCAGGGTCTATCTTTGAGATCGGTGACCAGACTGTGACATGTACAGCTACTGATGCTGCTGGGCTAACTTTTGTGAATAATTGTACAATAACAGTCAGTGTTTCAGGTTAGACCTTTCGATTCTCTAAAAAGTCAACCACAATATCAAATGGTAATTGATTGGCTCTTTTTCTTAGTTTCTTTCCCAATAAACTTCAGTCAGAGTTTTCGTTTGGTTTTTATGTAACTCATATGCAAAGTAAAATCGGTGAGTGACGGGGCTTGCTGATATGTTTTGTGTGTGATGTGATATTAAGTTTATCTTTTAAAATATGTTGCAAAGAAACAAATTACGTGCGTCAACTTAAGGAAAATACTGTAGAAATAATGCTGAAGGAAAATTCCTCTAGTGACGAGACTTTACATTTTGTTCGCGATGTGATTACATTAAGAGGTTAAAAGTATAGCTTTGTCTTACCCGACGAAACTATAGAGTACAATGTCGCGTTTAGCTTAACATCAATACCTACCATTGGTCATTTCGCAGATTTTGATGAATGTAACGCTACATCTATTGAAGGTGGTCATGACTGCGGTAGCAACGCATATTGCACCAATACACCAGGAGGATATACTTGCACTTGCCTAACTGGATACACTGGCGATGGAAGAATTTGCATAGGTAATGGTATATACTGTCGTACACGCTACAAAATAATATCAACGTAACAAAATAAAGAAGACACACTGATGTCTTCACTATGGAAGGCTTATAAACTTTCCCTTATGAATCACGATTTACTGTTTCGATCTGGTTTTACATACTTCGCAGATAACATTCCTCCAGTCTTTGTGGCCGGCACTTGTCCGTCAGCTTTGGTTAAAGAGGCAGAATCAGCGACTATGACCGCAACGGTGACGTGGGATGACCCTATTGCCACTGATTCCGGCGGCGTTCCAACCATTGTTGAATGTTCACCAACATCAGGCTCTGCGTTTGGAATAGGTTCCCGGAACGTCATATGCACAGCGACTGACGCGGCTGGACACACCGCGCACTGTTTCTTCTCGGTGACTGTTGAAGGTATATTATGCAAATGACCTACGTTATCTTTAGGTTTGCTTGTACGCTGGTCACGAGATATGCAAACAATTGATAAATTTTACTGTTGGAACAAAATCACGTCTGGGTAACATACGATCAATCAAACTGGATTTATTTTTTTCAATAGCAAATTCTAACTCTGCTGGTCCTCCTGCACCATTGCTTCCCAGTCAAAGCGAAGTCACTCCAACTAGCTTCATGATGACTATCATGCCAATGGATAGGATTAGAGGCAATGTCAGGTACTGAGGAGTGTTTCCAGAAATTATTTTTGTTTTATTTAATTTATGTTCTTATTAAATCTAAGGGGTTTTTTTATCTTCAAGTCGACTCTACCCTAATTCGCTCTCTGATTGCGTCGGTATTTTCAAACAAAGACCGAAGATAACATACTGCAAAGAATATTGCATGTCGATGCAGACTGCGATAGACAATATCAAATGTGTACTTAAGTGCCTTGAAGTGCTACACCTATCTCATTCACTGTCTGTGATTGTATTTTTCGTCCGGGTTTTGGGATTATTTTGGAATCTCGCTGTGCACGATTAAACTTAGGTTTTTGCTAGCATGTAGCTGTAACTTGTAAAATGTATTTTTTGACCATCTTCAACCTTACCTTAATACGTTCATCAAAGTAACTACATGTATTTTCTCGTAATTATCCGTACAGTTGCTATGACATTGTAGTCAAGGAAGTGCTTGGGGGTGAAGAGATCAGCAACATGGATCCTGACAGAGACTATCCTCCGGAAACCATGGTAACGTATGAAGAGGCCCAAAGCACTCCTGGAGTGCCTTATATTGCACTGGTTAAAGGAGGGTAAGTTGGATTTCATCTTTAGTTCATCTCAGATTGAACAAAAATTGAAGGAGTCTTTATCAAGTCATTAAATCTGGTATTAAGTCAACTAATCACAGGGTGAGTAAAAGAAAAAGGAAATCCTAATAATGCCTTTTTTTTTAAAGAAATTCTGCATGTAGCGAGTTCCAGATCTATGATGTGAAAGCTTCAGTAATAAGCTTTCTTTTATATCATTCAAATCACTTACGTACTTTTCAAGTTATGATTTTTTAAGCACAAAGTTTTATAATTTTGTCCATGGATCACAATCAAGGTAAGTAAAATATGACAATTCACACATCAGAAAAAAAAAACACATCAGAACACTCTTATAACCATGATGATAACTGTCACTTATCAGCACCTTTATTTAAACACCTTCTGCTTCTAATGTTAAAACAACATGCTTTATAATGTCAAGAGTCTGTGGTCTTGCCATGCCTTCTACTTGGCTACCCCGAGACTTATGTGATTGTTCTGATATCGTTTTCATGATACAACATGGTTACATTGTAATGAAATATTACACGTACCTTAAACGTGATCCGTGGACAAAATTTTAGAACTATGTTTGTGTTCATAATTCCATAAATGGAAAAGTATATGAGTGATTTGAATTATTCTTTGAGTAAAACAAAGCTTCTTAACTGGGCTTTCACTTCCTAGATCTAGAAAGCGCTAAATGTAGAACTTCCTTGAAAAAAAGGGGGCACCATTTGGGTTTCCTTTTTTATTACTCGTCCTGTATTGTCTCGAGGAAGACGAGATTCTATACGGCACCATTCTTTGGCTTGAAGGTGTCTGCCGTGCTATGGTCATTTTTAACGGCAGTGGCATGGCACTGCCGCTGCCGTCCTCGAATCTGTTTGAAGTTGGGGAAACATTTTAGGAATGCTTGAATGTTAGTTTAACCTGCCGTACTACTTTAGATCCATTTAGTTCGTCTCTTGAGCTTGGAGTTTAGAGCACCGTCCTGCCGTGCAATTGATTAGCTATTGCAAGGCTCAACCCAATCGGGTTTGACACGGCAGTGTCAAGGCGTTTAGAGCAGGTCTAAGATTGCAAGGGTTATCAATACCGAGAATAATATTACAATGTGATTCCTCATTATACTACTTTCAATGTAACACTCGGAATTTTCCTCTGAAAAAAAAATCGATAAGGTCTGATTTGGATACTACTGAGACCGTAGAGATTGGCTCGGGAAGAGTTTCCAGATGCCGGGGAAATGGCTCTAGAAGGAGTAAGAGAAAGAGAGCTACTATCTATGATCACATTGGCGACAATGGACCGCTGAAAGCCAATACTTGGTATACAGCTTTCCTAAGGGCATTTGTGTTGAAACCTAATGGGGTGAGTTGTCATTTAAATGAATGGATCCCTAAAATTGAAGGACGGTGCAGCACCAAAATGGTCTTAACGCGTATGCAAAAACCGAAGCTACACGACATCCTGTACTGTCAATCTGTAATCAATCCACTAGGTCCTTGTAGTAACACGTATCGAACCAGCTCGTTTAGAGAGTAAGACTTATTGATCACGTGGTGTTCGAATACGATTAAGACGTACTTAAAGGAGTAGTTAAAAATCATTTGTTTTGGCAATTTACTGCGCATAATTGGTTATCGTGGCTGAAAAATTTGCCATTGAGTTTAGGGTTTGTATTAAACTGTCTTCCTAACGTTTTGCTCGAATAAAAATTCCGTGTTACATTTGCAGGAAGTGTACATGTCAAGCCCTTTCTTAACACCTGTTAAAACGGGTAAGTGAAAAGTGTGCCGATTTTTTTGATGTTATTCGCTTTGAACAATCGTTTCTTGTTTCAGCTTTGGACATTGTTAATTTGTCAGTGGCAATTCGTCCTTTTAGGCTCATACTATGCTGATCCTTAAAAATGTTCCTCTTTACCTATATCACCAAAAAGTGGTATACTTACACCATTTCAATGGTTACCTTAAATTTCAAATAATTATTTTAATGAAAGCGGCTTCTCAAAGTGCCTCTGATACACAGAGACTGTTAATAGGTCAAATATATTTCGAACTATTTGTAGTAGCTGTACAGGAACATAATATTGTTAAAGCTTTAAATGAACTTAAAGGTTTGCATGGTGGACATGATCAATGAATGGGAGGTTTGCGGTAACACCATGTGAACGATATCTCTTTGTGAGTTGTGTGGTTCTTAGAAGAACCAATTGGTTGAACTCGACGTTTCAAAAAGTATGCTCTGTTCGTCATCGTTAGACTGCCCTGTGTTTTCCATTTTCCAGGTACTGAGCCGAACACCACACAGTTGATCATAATTGCTGCGTTTGGTTCAACAGGCGTACTCATTATATTAGTAGCAATAATGATATTTGCTGCAAAGTGTTGGAAGGCGCGTCGAAAAGAAGACGGAGAGATAAATGGCAAACCAAATGTACGTCTAATCCAATGGATTGTGTTAATTCGGTTTAAAAAACTGATTAATTTCTTAAACAAATCTTTATCAAAAAAGTAAAGTTAATGCCGGATGATTGTCTGACTGGCGGACTGACTGGATGGCTGACTGACTGCACAGGTTTGCTGGCTGGCTGGTGGCTAGCTGGTTGGCAGGCTGGCTGGCAAGCTGGTTGACTGGCTGCCTCCCCTGATTGCTGCCTGGGTGGCTGGCTGGCTGACTGGCTGGCAGGCTGGCTGGCTGGCTGGCTGGCAGGCTGGCTGGCTGGCACCCCGCTGGCTGCAGGCTGGCTCTCGGATGGCTGGCTGGCTCCCCGGCTGGCTCCCCGGCTGGCCGGCTTCCGGGCCGGCCGGATGGCTTGGCTGGCTGGCTGGCTGAACAATAGTGCAATCGTTACAGCAGTACTATACGATAAGGACCTTCTTTTACCTAACATGGAGAAAAATGGAGCACCGAGCCTCTTAATTGTTGCCCACACAAAATTCCGGAAATGTCACAATGCTTCTACCGTAACTTAGGTGTCCTATTATTAAATGGTACTAATGTGACCGGATGTGTACATTTCACCACAGATAACGCCAGTCAATGGAACTCCAGTGGATCCACGGTATGATGATACGGACCTCCCGCTGTGGGCCAAGAAGTGGCAGATTTTGTGGAATGATCTAAATGTCGAGGAATTCATACTTGGAAGGGGAAACTTTGGTGAAGTCAGGGCGGGAACTGTGAGGAGGGGTGGGCAGATTATCGATGCAGCAATCAAGCTCCTGAAAGGTGAATTACGATTTTAAAACAATAAATCCCATCGTGCCTTAAACAAAAATAAAATCTTCTTACTTACTTGACCTTGTTGGATTGCTAGTTAATGGATCCACGAGATGAACTTTCCTTGGGAACATATTTTGTGCAACTCCTCTTAAAATGTATGAAAACTATTTGACATCTCTTTTGGTTTAATTTTATTTAAAATTTTGAGAATTTTCAGTGTTTTTTTCGAACAACCGAGGGCGCTGTTGCTGTGATGTTTTTGCAGGAGGACACTGTTTAGTTTAGCGGTATTCTGTTCAAATTGATAACCCAAGCATTTGCCAATTGAAAACATTTGTTATAAAATTTGCTCATTGGCATACTGCCATGTTTACTGAAACAGCGAATCACACACACAAAATTACGACAGCAAAAAATCCACAAAAACATAATATTTGGACTTTGCACAAAAATGGATCGAACCCTTCCAAAAATTACTTTATATCTTTAGACCTAAATTGTAAAATGCAAATCAACAGCTGTGCATGGTACATACACGTGACTATGTTTCGCCTAAACAATTTATATTGTGCTTGATTATTAAGCAGTACAATATTGACCAACTTTAGGTTTTTCTACCTCTGTTTTTCTTTCCATATTTTCCTGATTGTGCCTTATAGAACGTGCATTATCGGCTGAACATGAAAACTTCATGAAGGAGTTTCGAACCATGACCAAAATCGGAAATCACCCAAATGTGGTCCTTCTTCTTGGTGCATGCCAACATAATGGTAGGCCAATAAAGGTTCTCTCCCCAACATTGAAACCTTACCATTATCATCATGACAGTTGGGGCTAACTGCCAGTCCCAAATCATACCGATTATTACATGTATTATTACACGATTTTTTTCTGGAAAATTGTACTCGGAATTTATACATTTATTTGTAGCTTTACATTTTGGCTGCGATATAGCAGCTCAACAAATCACCATGTCTTTCCGTTAGTCCATCAGTTATTTAGTAACAACTGTTGATATTGTCTATTGCTCCTATATGTCACATGACAAACGGGGGTCAAAGATCACCATGGGGTCACTGGGGTCAAAAACCTGATGTTATTTTATACTCAAAATACTACCCCTTCCGGAAATTACATGGCCCCATCACGTGACTCATGCATGAACACGAATTCGTTTTGGCCCGCAGCTTCCGAGATATTTACGATTGATTACACTTGCAGAAAATCATGTTCATACCATTCTTTATCTTTAACGACAGAATTTCGGCTTGAGTGCCACAACACATTATTTAGTTTTGCTCCTTTTATCAGGTGTTATGTATGTTGCAATGGAGTATATTCCTGGTGGTGATCTGCGCAGCTTTCTGCGGAATGCTCGCTCACAGTGGGGGGGCGCCATGTCTTCAGGCCAGCTGATTGGTTTTGCCCTGGATGTTGCCAAGGGGATGAAACACCTCTCCAAGTTGAAGGTATAAAAAAACAGAGCAAGTTAGGTCACATATTCAACTCAAATTTCATTCGAATGCAGCGTATGGTTTTTAATTAGTTAGCTATATTTGGAGTCACTACCCCCCCCCCCCCGCAGAAAGTCCATTGTTTTCACTTCCGCACATTTCATTATATTTCGAAATACATTCATTTATCGGGTGCCACCACACTAAAAACTTGCCTGGGGTAATGTTACCCAGGAAAGGATGAAAACTGCAACCACCCAAAATTTGGGTGTTTAAAAACCAATTTTTGGGTGTTAGAATTTCTGTTAAATTCAACCAAAAGTTGTGGCAATACAAGACCAAATTTAAGCTTGTCCTGTAGCCTATATGACTACAGCTTTTGGTTGAATTTAACAGAAATTCTAACCCACACAATTATTGTTTATAAAACAACCAAATTTTGGGTAGTTGCAGTTTTCACCTTTTCTTGTGTAAAATTAACCCCAGCAATTTTTCAGTGCATGGATATGCCGTACGTGTCATGATTACGAAGTGGATACAAATGTAAGAACGCATTGATTTAATCCTACGTAATTGGCAAGGATTGACTTTCGTTTACTTTACAAAAACACAATTACTGTGACTGTACTAGTTTAAAAGAAAGTGAAGAAAAATATTTTTAATTTGTAGTGAGTGGGGTGGCAGGTGGCAGCATTTAAGCATACACCTGACTCGAGTGAGACTTGCATACTTGTGGCTAAAAATGAAAATTAGACCGTCGGTGGAGCTTCGGTTTATTCTGTTATATCCCCATAAAAATAGTATCTGAAACCTGAAAATTACCTATTTTTATGTTTTACCCTAATACTACAGGTAATTCACCGTGATTTGGCTGCAAGAAACATTCTGCTAGACGGCAATTTGGTCGCCAAAGTGTCTGATTTCGGGCTGTCGCGAGGAGATGATGTCTATATTCAAGCCTCTCAGGTAATTTACGCTTTTACATAATAATCAATGTGATCTTTGTGGTATTCAGTAGTGCGTACGCCCGTGTAGCAAGTGTAGCCAAGGGAAGAGTTATTGTAAGGTTTGGTAGGGCAACTCCTCATGTGGCCGAAGGCTATTTAAAGTTAATATTGATGTGAAGCGAGTGGACTCGGAGAGATGACTAAATTTAATTCAATGGTTTATTCATATGTACATACAGAATATACACTGTGGCTCTCTCGAATATATATACAAAAACGACAGCCAATTGGACAGACAGTTGTAAGTGCCACCACCAACCGAAGGGGAAATTGTCCCCAACTAGATGTAGTTGAACGGTAATCAGAGCACTTCTAAAAATTTAGGTGTGGTCTGATCGCATGCAAGTGGATGGGTGTCTCTAGCAATGCCTTGTCATTACACGGAAGCTAAGCTATGCAGCACACAATGCAGCTCAGAAAAACTGAACAATATTCTAGAATGCGAGGTATGTTGGAATGTTCCTGATCAATGCAGCTAGCTATGCGCTAGAATGTGATTGCAGGAAAGTTAAGGAACCAAGCGAGGGCGTTGCAATAAAATGTTTATTTAACGAGGGCGCTATTTATGTTATCAAAATAATGGCTCATCCCATTGTACAGCCTTAGTACTATGCTTATGATTATATAAGAAATGTTACTGAGACCTGTCTGTTGCAAAACACGACTGGTCACACAAGTTACTATGTGAAAGATTGGTTTCAGTACGTCATTCAATGCGCCATTCAATACGTCATTCTTTTAAAATGCAGATGTGGTAAAATGAAACGTCTGGATTATATGAAATAATGAAATTTACTTTTTTAACAGCAACGTGTTCCATTCCGCTGGCTGGCCATTGAATCTCTGACCCAAAATACCTACACGACCCAGAGTGACGTGTAAGTTTTCGTCTATTTGATGTAACATTGACCTATCGCCGTTTGCTAGTTAGCCACGCCCTTCGGTTTGTTTGTCTCAGATTTTATCATTATATTATGTAGCGAGTGCTACACGCCTCGAGGGGGTTAACTTCCATATCCCGTATCCATGGGCGTCAATCCTGGGGAGACAGGGGGACATGTCAACCCCCCCCCCCCACAACACACACACACACTGTTTGAAGGGTGGGGGACGCAATATCAAATCCCCCCCCCCCCTCTAGATTTTTGAACTCGTGTCTCATTTACGGCCCTATTATGTACTACAATGTATATTTTGCTTAGAAAATATTGGTTAAAGTGGTCAGAAATTGCCTCAGATCGCACCACAGAGCATTTAAGCGGGCCCCGAACCCTATGCCTTTTGCTGAGAAAACCTCTAAAATTATTTTTAAATCAATATCTTTTGCTAAGAAAATATTGGTGAAAGTGGTCAGAAATCAGAGCATCTAGAATCATTTTTTTCGGGGCCCTTAAGCGGGCTCCGAACCACACGCCTATAGCTCAGAATACCGGTAGCTGATTCAATGACTCCAACCTCGAAAACGATGTTCAAATAATTATCTTTTGCTAAGAAATAGTAGTTAAAGCATGGAAGAAAGTGGTAAGTAATTGCCTCAGATCACACCACAGAGCATCTAGAATCTATATTTTTTGGCACGCTGTAAGGGCTTTACGCTTCCCGCTCGCATCAGTTCTGATCAAGGTATGTCCCCCCCCCCCACTTTTTAGAAGCGATTGACGCCCCTGCCCGTATCACAACAATCAACTTTTATAGTAAGTCAAAAAGATAAATGGTTGAAACTTACTGTATGAGATAAGCCACTGCGATCATGCGATGTAATCTTTGATAACTAAAATTTTTGATAACTGACTGAGCGGTTGACGTTGCGCGAAGCTAGCGCGCCGGCAGGTTCCACACGCAGCGCGTGCAATGAATGCAATAGCACTGATCTCAACGTAAAAATTGATATAAGTGACCAGACACGTGGCCATTCTAGACCAGTGAAATTACAGTATCCAAGCATACGATATAACAGTTTAAATTTTGTTTTTACCTATGTAACCATAATTATTAATCTTTAGCCCAACGACATTAGCGACACACCTGACGATTTAAGTGTCCAAATAAACCGTTTGCGTTTACAGTTAGAGTTTTGAGTATTATACGCGACAAGCGATTTGTTTAATGTACCGTATATGTTATAAGCCTACATTGTATTAAAGGACTAGCCGACAAGATTTTATTAACATATTTTCTCTCTTGCAATTCATATCAAACATCAGGTGGTCCTTTGGAATTCTCCTCTGGGAAATTGCCACTTTTGGTAAGTTTGATGAACTTTTTTGTTCATTTTTCTGTTGCCTTCTGTTGACCGTCAAGGTGTTTGGGGGTTCGTTTGAGGACATTATTTTATGTTAAACAAAGTGTGTGTTTTTTTGGTCAACCGCACAGGTGCTACACCTTACGCTAATATCCACGTAAGCAAACTGGCAAACGAGCTCATGACGGGATACCGCATGCCCCATCCCAGAAACTGCGACGGTGAAATGTAAGACATTTTAAAACCATGTTAAAACTATCTTTCAAGTTTGCAGCATTCCTATCCCGAATTCGCTTTACAAACTTTAAGAGTACTGACGCCAAATTCAATACGATAAGGTCTCATTTAGTCCGATTCGATGGACTGTGAAACATTACGATTAAAACAAGACTGTTATAGGCACGCCTAGTCAAGCTTCTCCCAGCGCTCATGTAACCGTGAAAAATGACACACTTGGGGGAACTCGCACAAACTAAGACTCTATGGGGATTAACTAACAAAACTAAACTAAACTCAGGATCTTTGAAGGGAAAAGTCGCGAGGAAATTGAATTAATAGAGACCAGAGACCAATTCTAGATTTCTAACAAAAAAAGGACCAAAAAGAATTTATTCACAAGAACCTTAAACCAAAAACTAGAAACTAAAAGCAAAGAATAAAACCTAAAAACCAAAGACTAAAACCAAAAACCAAGAAATTGAGACTTAACCCTAAAATCTAAAACCAACACAGTGTGAATAGTGGATCTTTCAAAGAACACTCAAGCAGGAATAAAGTCTGTAAACAAGAAAATACAAAAAGAGAAAACATATAAGGAAATGATCTAATGAATATTCAAGATGTAATAAACAAGTTCTAAGATACAAAGGAAGTGGGAGACACTAATCCCCAAAGTGAAGGATTAGCAAGTAATAAAACACGTCCAGTGGCACCATCCTATACACAGGCCATGTGAGTTAAATGAGAACAAAGAAATTGCAATGAAAAGCTAAAGCACACGGTGAAGGATTTAAGAAAATCTCTAAATCTAATACTAAGAAAATATACAAGAAAAACATGAAAATCTAGAATGCAAATGAACTTTCAACCTTTCTTAGTAATAAAACAAGGCCAAAAAATCTATCCTTAAGTAAAACCAAGGTTAATGAAAATAAACAGAACTAAGAAACTTTTCTCAAAAGAACTCAAAAGAGACCGGTTTCATTGAAAAGACTAAAGCTTCCTTATTACAGTAGGAACAAATCAATCATCAGGAAAAGAAGTAAAACACACTAGTGTCTTAAGTAAAATAATAAATGGAAACAAAATGAAACAAAAAGTTGTAAAAGAAAACATCAAACTGGAGCTTCCTCAAAGATCTAATCTGACCAGAATCAATTCAAAGCTAACAATTAACTTTCAAAAGAAAACTGAACTATATTTCTAATAATAATTATACATGATAAATGAAAAGTAGACAATATACAAAAGAAAACTCACCAAATGACTCGAGCAGACAGAGCTCAAACAGGACAGGCTCTCCAGTTAGGAGGAACATAAAATACCGGTATAAATACTATGAAGTTGTCTCTGTTGGTCTGCTGGTTGAACTAAAGTGTGGCTTGACCATGTGGCAGCTTTTATAGGGGGAACATGTGGGCTAAAGTAAACAAACAGGGGGAAACACTACCAACAAGGGGGGGGGGAATCTTAAGTGAAACTGAAATGGTCTTCTTTTCTAAGGGGAACTACTCCTATTCAATACACTATACATTACATACATGAAAAATATACCAGATAAATTTGGCCCTGCCACACTCACACAATTATATAAGTTGATTCAGAATGGCTATCCACGCGTCTGTTCATGCCTCTGTGTACATGATGGGACGGATTCAGCTCATTTAATTGCGACAAAGACGATTACACCATCAAACATTTAAATTTATAAACAATTCATAAATACCTAAGACATTTTACCCATTCATATTGGTCGAGATGGTCGAGAGCCTGTCACATGGCCGGTCTTAAACGGTTGATAAAAACCGACATTTTTTCCAGTGTCACTTGAAATTTGTACAATATGAATTCCAGTGCCGTTTACTGTTTTATTGGTTGAAAGTTCACAATCCTCACGTGGGCATGCGCAGTTGTTTACGACTATAGTAGGCTATAGCTAGAGGGGTGTCCCGAAAAACATGAGGTAACATTTTACATTTTTGACTTATGTTGACTTTTTGACCAAAAAGTTCAGATTTTTGACCGAAAGGGTAATTATGAATGGGAATAAATATGTACTAGGCCAGTATTAAACACTTTGTTTAAGACTGGTTAGAACCCAGATTCCAACCGGTCTTAAACAGAGTGTTTAAAACCGGGCAAGCACACTTTTTTCTTGGGTTTAAAGTATTTTGCAGCAACAGAACTAGAGGATAGATTGTATTCTTCAATATTTTATATCTTATATTATCCAGCTACGGCTTAATGAAGCAGTGCTGGGACGAAAATCCGAAGCAGAGACCTACCTTCACAAATCTGGTTGGTACCCTGGCTACGTTGATGAAGTATACAGGCAGACACGTGAGTTTCATATAACCTTATTCTTATAATACCCCTCTAGTGTGCAGCCGGACTATGATAAAACCTCCCAACTGATTTCCATAATTAGAAATTGATGCCAAAAATAATATCGAAATTCCCTTAATAACATTCAAATGGCTTCACAAATCGATAGACTCTTTTTCCATTTTATTAATGACTCCGGGCAAGAGTATTGATGTGTTTTTGTGACCACATTCGAGAGTTCCAGAGGGAGGGACACAAGTGCGCCTACTACACTGTAAAAAATATTGGGTAAAACATTGTTGGGCAATATAATTTTACCCAACATTGGTTTGAAATTACCCAATGTGGTAAAACACTGTTGGGCAATATAATTTTACCCAACATTGGTTTGAAATTACCCAATGTGGATAGAAAGTTTCCAAGAATTGGGAAGATTTTGCCCAAGAGTTTAACCTGTTGATGTGTTGACCAACGTTGGTCTACATATCAACCCATTTTGCCCAACGGGTTTACAGTGTATAATTAAGTTTCCCGCGCGTAGGGCGTGAAAAACGCTCGTTTGTTCTGCACAAACCATTGAGCGTCAGGCAGCGTTATCAATGCCAGTAGTCTCCCTACACTCTACCATTATAACAGCGTAGGCCTAGGGGTACATAACTCTCAAATTCATAACATGCACATTGGATTTTTAATCCCAAGGTCTATGGATTGCCAGTGAAAGCAATTGATGTATTCTCTTGATTTACCGTTACTCGTATGCTTATTAATCCCTTTAATAAGAACTAAAAAAGAAAAGACAATTCAGATAACTGGGTTCGCTAATTCACCTCAATCCTAATCAGTGTGGGCCTAGTGTGAACTTTTTTTTTCTGAATAGATATTCTGTTACTGCCCTTTTTTCAACAGGCATGCATAGATGTTGACAGAGTGCATTATCAGAATTTCCTCATCCGACCAGAATATGATGATAACTGATCCCTTGATGTCTTCAACCACTTCCAGAGATGGCAACGAAGGTCCAAAATACAAAAACAAAGTATTTCAGTGTAAGAGCAGCAACGAGAGGTTATTGTTTCTTTTCTTTTTTTCTTTTCAATATTACTCCATGGTTTTAGATCGGACAGTTCAAATCAAATTTAGCTTATTATTCAGGGTACAAGATGACGGAGAGTTAACATTCTGTGAAATTTCCCTGAGCAATCGTGGACCTGAAACTGATGTTGTTTATCTTTCAAGTGTTTGTCAACTTGTCTTGGAACGCCCATATTATGTTGTTTCAATACTTTTGATTGCTTGTTCACGTTTTAATTATAAATAAAATACAAATTATTTACACAGTATCGAGGTTATAAAAATGAATGCGTACATCCCATGATTAAAAAAAGTGTTTTTTTTTTTTTTAACGTGAAAAAAGATTCTGCTATGAATGAAACGCCATGTCCTTCTTAATCAAAATATCTTTGTACCATAGCCTATTGTGAACCCTTATCAGAACTTTTTTAAGTATCGTGTTTCCGTCTACCGATTTTCTGGATATCCGTGTTTATATGTGTTGACTTGTTTACACAGAATTATATTTAGAATTACAGTATACTTGTTCAGAAAATCGTTTTATTGACGTAGAAAACGTGCTTACACAGAATTACTATATTTTACGTTTACATTTAAGCATACTTAGGCCTAATCACAGTTACAATCTGAGTAAAATATAGCTGTCCCAATAAACATTGTGCAAGAAAAAATCGCTGATTTTCTCAAAACTTGGTCAGACTAGCTAATCAAAATTTATAGCATTTTCCAGCCTATATATGGTCTTGTTTATAACTGGTGAAAAATCAAGAAAACGCAACGATTTAAACCAGAGATATCTTTGATTTCGTAAGGCTATGTATTTTTCGACCTGCACAATGTAATTTCCACACTTAGTATTTGCTTGTATATCATTGGGTTATTAGTTACGCAGTGCTTGAAATAATTGCATGGCCTTTATGTTTCGGATAAGGGTGTTCACAGATAACATTTTGGGTACATTACATTATATAATCAAATCTAATACCACTTGGAATGCCTAATATCAGGTGTTTAGTCTTTGACAAAGATTTTGAAAGGACAATGAACATGCTATCTTCTTTGACAGCTGAAATGTATTGGCCTAAGCTTAACTATACAGGATTCTAATTGTGCAGGAAGAAAATAATATAGCCTTACAAAATCAAACGTATCTCTGGTTTGCATTGATGGATTTTCTTGACATGTTCACCAATTATAAACAAGACCATAGGCTTTAACCCTGCGCGGAGTGACCTGCGTACCCCGGGTACGCAGGTGACCGAATTTTTTGAAAAAAACAAAACTTGAGGGCCAATGACGTTCACCTTCCATCTAATCCTCATTCAACCCATGCCAAATCAGCTGGTTCAATGAACTTTGCAGCCAGGGTTTCACCCGAGCGGTGTCAACAACCTTGGGACCAGGCCTCCTGCCAAGTCTCATTGAAACATATACAAACACCTGTAACTTGACACAGCCATCTCCCTTCATAGCCGCAAACCGCAGCCACCAGTCAATTATCTTTTAAGTGCCCTGTCTGGCAAATGCCTGGACACTGTCTGGCACGTGGCTTTTTGTTGTTTTGACATGGATAGGGTCTTGCGTAGTGGGGGAAGTACCTGCGTCCCAAAGGTACGCAGTTGGCGACTTCGGATAAAAATTTCTTGTAAACGCTGCGCAGGGTTAAATAATATAAAATTTGATTAGCTAGTATGACCACCTTTTGAGCAAATCAGCGACTTCTTCATGCACAATGTTTATATAGGGACACGCTATTTATTTTACAATGAGTCACCAATTGAGTATGCTTGTTTACCCAGAATTGTGAGTGTACACTTGTTTAGAAAATCGTTTTATTGACGTAGAGTTCGTGCTTACACAGAATTACTATAATTTACGTATACACTTCAAACATACTTAATCACAATTACAGTTTGAGTAAAATATATTTTGCGCTGAGTCACCAATTGAGTATGACTGTTTACCCAGAATTATGAGTGTATTTGTTTAAAAAATCGTTTTATTGACGTACAGTGCGGGCTTACACAGAATTACTATAATTTACGTTTACATTTAAAACATATATGATTACGGTAGGTAGGGACAACGGAAGCAGAAGTATTTTTTTTGGGGGGGGGGGGCCCTTAGCGATCGACGCCCTTGCATGTTTACTCATAAGTCATTTAAGTAATTGGTTACTTGAAATTAGTTTAGTACATTGTGCTAGCACATTGTTAGTTAAACCTTTATTTGGTATACTTTTTACACGTACAGACTGATTATTTGTTTAACACACATTTGAGTACTTGCTTACACAGAATTATCAGAGCATTTTGTATTGTAATCGTTGACATAATTACTAAGTATATCATGTTTAAATTTTTTTGTTTGGACGGGGGCATTCCCCCCCCCCTCCCCCCGCCCAACGCACACAATTTTTTATAAGTGGGGTTTCATATCGTTTGTTCTCGGGCACTGTTTATCATAAAAACATATCTCTTCCTTGTCATCGCAGGATTATTATCCTCAAAGTGTTCTTGCATGTTTACCGGCAGGCTCGGATCAAAAGGGGGCATGTGGGTATCGAACCCCCCCCCCCTCCTTCTCCTGCATCGACACCTAAAAAAATAGCCATCATGGTATAATTACCCATATTATGTTTGCCTGTCCGCAACAATCGGAAATACAAAAAACGGACGGTCATGAACCCCCCCCCGCAGGCGTATGCAGCATTCACTCACACAACATTGCAAAAATATTTTCACTTGTTTACACAGAATTATGAGTGTACACTCGTTCAGAAAATCGTTTTATTGAAGTATAGTACGTGCTACAGAAATTCTTTAATTTCAATTACATTTAAAACATACTTAATCACGACACAATTACAATTGGAGTAAAAATATATTTTACGCTGAGTCTCCATTTAAGAATATAATTGCTTCAAAGAATTATGGGATAATAATACGTGGAGAATATACAGGAATATCAACTGATATGTTTAAAGAATTACAATCTGGGTAAAGTATGGTTGTCCCAGAATTATTATCCAATTACTTTCTTGCTTGTACCGAATTATCTTAGTTTTCTTGTTTTTAGGAGAAAATACTTGTGTATATTGAATTTATACCTACGGCTTACCGGTCCAGTACTGATTTTCGCAGCACTATATCATCTGATGTCGATTCGTATCATGTTAACCGAATTACGAATTTAGCATGTTTACGCAGAATTATTACATTCGAATTTAGTATATTTTGTTTACGCAGAATTATCATTGAATGTTTACTCAGAAGTCATGTTAGTAATTGGTTAATTGGGATTAGTGGAGTGCATTTTGCTGGCAGATTGTTACCTATAACCTTTGTTTGGTATACTTGTTTACACAGAATGCATCTGAATATCGTTTGCGAAGTTATTTTTGTTCACACATACTCATAACTGTTTACGCTGTATGAATTAGGGTTTACAGCTTATTTTTCCAGTATAGACCTATATATGTCATCCAACAATAGGCTACTTTAAATATTACATTTGGTTCTGAAAATTTGACAAACCAGGATTATCGGATTGACTCTCGCCGCCTATTATTATACTTATACACTTTTATACAAAGAATTAGAAGAATACCGGTTTTCACAGAAAATGTGTATTGTGCTGACACAATCATTCGTTGAGGGATTTTGTTTTTACTTGGAATTATTATCTTCACTCGCTTCAACAAAATAATCGGATTGTATTTTGAATACTTATAATACTGAGCAATTTTGAGTACATGTACCTGCGTACACGGAAATATTTGAGCGTATTGACATAATTACTACGTTATTACATGTATGAATACATACTCAGAAGTATCATTGAAGTAATTGATTAGGTCTACTTAGAATTAGATGAATACATATTGCTTGGACATTGCTGTTACCATGCCGTAGTTTGCTACTCGTTTACACAGAATAATTATTTGATTGATTCGTTTGCGATACTGTTATTTTTATTCATTATCCAGTTTGCTTTTACATGTATACCACCGAGACAGCAAATTGTTCTTCAAATAGGACCTACTTTGTTTCCTGAGTTCCGGATATTTTAACACTTATATCACATAAATTCTTTAGAACTATACTTCAATTTGCTTCAGAACATTAACGAGCTTAATTCTCAACTTCAGTTTTAATATAGCTTTTTTCAATACACCGCCGACCACTAATTGAGACGAATATATCGAAGTAAGGACCAATTGAGCCAAATGAAAAAAATGCTGGTGTCTATTGAAAATGAGTATGAGAAAATGAGCTCGGCGATGTTCTAGAACGAAATTTAATTATACGTTATAGGGAATATGTTTGATATGCGTGTTAAAATAACGGGGAAACCTATGAGGTACAAGTCATAGTCGGTTGTTTGTTTTACATTTACCCATAATGATGCAGACGACTATTTGACTACATCGGTATGTAGAGTAAGTTTCTCCAAATTTTTCAGAGCAAATTTTCAAATTAAATATCGCATTATGATACTGGTAATTAGCAGAAATGTTGCAGTACTATTTTATTCTGAGAAAAAAAACAACGGATGATCTGGGCCCAATTTTAAGGCTCTGCTAACCACGGAATTCGGCGCCACGATCACCAATACGTGCTAACCGACCGTGCTAGCAGAAAAGGTATGCGCGAGCCCAGTACGCACAAAATCCTTAGTTATGGGATGTACGCATGCGCACAAGCCAAAATTCCTCGCTAAGGCCAAAAAAAAAAGTCTCCGGTTTCTGGTATGGAGCTTGCTCAAAAATTGGTGCGGCGACGCGGCTTTTTTTTTTTTTACCTGATTTTTTTGCTTCAAATGTCGGCTGATGACTGTAAATGGTGCCCGACTAAACTTAGTGCAAATATATGGAAGTCCAGAGAGGCCACATAAAGCTTATTCTCGACCATAACCCAATCTAAAATTGAAATTGAGATCCTAGAATGCTGTTTTTCTCGGAATATACAGCTGAAGCTGAGCTGAAACTTCATCAGGTTAGTTGTTCAGTATCCTTCGTTGCTTCAAACTAACAAAATGCACAAATTACATATGATGGACTATATCTTTAATGATGCATGTTTGGTCGTTCTACAATAATTTGCCACGTGACCGATGCACAATGTTTAGATTAAATAAACACCATTCAAATATTTCAAAATACAGCAATGGAAACAGCACATTGAGAACACGAACAGAGTACATCAATGACGTGATCAAAGGTGTAAACTAACAAAACTAGTTTGAACTTCCCTTCTTTCTATGTGCAAATACCGAAAATATATAACCACAAATTAATTCATACAAGCCAGCGTTCTTTACCTTTCACAGTAACCTACATTTTTTTGTAATTATCCGTGTGTTTTTGGTTTTATTGTTATCCCTATTCTTGTAAAGGCAAAATACAATAAATGAAATGAAATCGCTATCGCCATTTTTCACGACTAAAATTATCCATCATTGTTCGCCTACACCCAATCAGAAACGCAAAGATCACAAACCTTATTATTTATAATCAGCTATGTTGAATTGGTAAAATAAAGCTCGCTGCATATAGTATCTACATATACGGATGGCTCCTTTTTACTAGTGTTTGTTTAACCCTTCAATACTTGCACCTATCAAAACCTGTCATAAAAGCTTAAACCCCTACCTCTCTCAATGGCTTTTGTACAGGCTGGTCATCAACTACCAGAAATCCTTGTGGAAAACAGAGCACCGTATCACTGTCAAAGTCTGTTGAAGTGGTTTGATATAGATAGGTTGACCCAATGGTACAACTTGTATAGAATCCATTTTGACCTTTCTTTTTTTACCAATTAATGGGCCTTATTCACGAGTTGGCCATTTTGTCGAGTTCCCTGAATGCATTTCATTAATCGTTAACTGTTGAATGGAATGGCGCCAGACTATTTATGCAGGCACAATGCAGCCTTATTTTACTGTCATTTTTTTTTTAATATGGCTTTAAACATTAGGGAATGTTTGTTTACAAATGGTAAATTATTCATTGAAGCAGACTGGAATTTATCATACATTCACTTGCTTTCATTTCTCTTCGCAAGTTCCAAAAATTAAATTACGATTTTACCTAACTTTCAAAATTCAATATGGCCGACTCGTGAATAAGGCCCATATGAGGCCAGTTTACAGACCTGTTAAAAATTGTAGCCTGTTAGATTTATAAAGATTTTCTTGCATAAATGCCCCTTTCCATTAAATGTCCTTTTAATATAAATTGTCCATTGATGAATTTATATCTACATTGTATAGCGTTTATAATCTCTGTATAAATGTCGACTGTTATTCGTGATGTTTGCTACTTATTTGCACACTAAAAAAAAACAACTATGAAAATTCGTGTTTGGCATAGTCATACACAACTCTTTGAAAGGTGACCAAAAGAGCTAATGCTCTGTCCGAGTATGTGCCCCTTCTTGTTTTTAATCCAGCTTTTATTTTAAAATAGTAACGTCAGGGTTCCAAGCACTTTATGCAAACAAAATTCCGTGAGTTTTCTTTGATATTTCGCTGGGAAATTTCCAAATTCTATGACTAATTTCACTTGAACGGTGTTGCTGGAAATGAAAATGGTGGTGTATAGCAAAGCCAAATGTTATTGTCAAGAGAGATCTGTAATATTCGATCACAAGGTGTAAACAATTAAAGCCACCACAGCCGCTCAGTCGATGGAAAAGAAACCTGTCTCTTCCGCAGGCGTGGGTCGGCGTCAACATCCCTTAGTAGTCCGTGATTTCCTGAGTTTTCATAAATTCCCTGAGTTTTCCCTGACTTGAAAAAATTATAATATTTTTCTGTCTGATTTCCACAGTGGATGTGAACCCAGTGATTGACTAAAATATTTTTTTTATATAAAAAATGTATATTGTAATAGTTTACAATTGAAAACAAATTAACGGAAAGTGTTGCGACTTAAAGCGCAGTGTAAAGGCGCTGGCCCTGACTGTGCTGAAGTTGCACAGTGTAATGCTGACGCCGAGCCGTACAAGTGAATGTGCTATACGATACTGACGCCGGGCGCGCCCATAATGCGCTTGCGCTCGCGTGCTTAGCTTTGCACGTAATGTCACGTACGAAAAAAAATTATGATTCAAAAATGCCTGTACGATATGGATTATGTCAGCCGCGGTTTTTCGCTTAGAAAACCCTGTATCTGTGGTAATTGTAAAGGTGTTTGAAAGGATTGATTCTTCAAAATCACAACTTTTAACATTTTAAAGATGGCGTCGGCACGTAAAACGGATAAACTGCAGCCCTAATTATAATGTGCCGTATTTTGGCAAATTTAAATTACACAATTCCAGGGGTTACGATCGCGCAAGGCATGATGGGAAACAACATGGCGCTGCAAGATCGTACCCACGGGGCACGAGGTTGGTCGTGTCCTTACAGTACATAACGCGCGCACTCATGCGTCGAATCTGGACCATCATGTTAAAAACATACATGTACATGTTATTTTCAAGTGATGCAGCAACCCAGACTTGGTCAATCTGCCAAGCGTACGCGCTGGTTTGTTCCACGTTTGTACACAGTCTATGGAAATAAATTTTTGCCAACTTTTGCACCACATGTATGCACATGCTCTACAATGTATGCACACACATGTACGTGTAATACGCGTGCTGTACAATGTACATACAGTGTGTGCGCATTGTTATACGGCACTGAAGTGGAACGCGCGCTGAAGTATACCTTGTCGGGCATCTGGAAAGACGTAAACTAAGTGATTTTTGCTACTTTTTTTAAGATACCGACTTAAGGCAATTCCGACTTGAGTCAAGTCTAGGGTAAAGCGTAAATCAGGTTAAGGCTGAACAGCGTGTATTATTTACACAATTGGCGTGCATTAAATACATTGGCGTGTATTATATATTGACATTGACGTGCACTACTTACATCAGCGTGTATTATTTACATTGGCGTGCACTGCTCACATTGGTGTGTACTACTTACATTGGTGTGAACTAATAACATTGTTGTACATTGTATACGTTGGTGTACATTGCTTACATTGGTATACATTGTTTACATTGGTATACATTGTTTACATTGGGCTCATTGTAACACATCAATCCTGTGAACATTGAAGCAACTCGAACCGAAGTGCAATAACGACGATCCATTCCTGGGGGTAAATACGGAAGACAGACGCCATGACGGACTGATTGAAGTAATTGGTATGTGGGGTAGAAGCAGATTTGATGTCCCCACCATCAAATACCTGAAAAGAAAAAGGTTTAGATGTTTGTGATTAGCATGTAGCCAATTGTTCACCGCATGAAATAGATATAAAATGCAAGATTGGTGATAGGGCCGAGACTGTAGTTGGTTTAGGATTATGGGTACGTTAAGGGTTAAGGGGACAGGGCGGGTCGAGAATTTGAAGGAAAGAAAATACATTATCTGATCAATTTTTATTGGACAGAATTTGCGTCGGGAAGATGTACATTTTATATTGGCTTTTGCTCTTCGCCAACGTACGTATTCTTATAAACACTGTAAACTCGTGATGTCCAAGACTTACGAGAAAGTGGTAAGACGTCCGCATTAGTACGCAGGAGGTCGTGGGTTCGAGTCCCACCCGGGTGTAAGCTTGTGAAGTTTTTCTCGCAAGCCCTCGGACAACACTGGATATACAGTGTTCATAAAAATATATATTTTGGCGAAGGACGAAACCAAATTCAAATGTATCTGTGAAACAGATCCGTTCGATTCTGATTATGTATGAACCGAACAAATTTGTGCATATTGGTGGCATGCAAGAAAATCAGCAAACTAAACCTAAATAAACTCGCAATTGATTTCGTTGGAATAGCTACAAATGAAACACTAGGTACCTGGATATCCCCGTTGCCCGTCCTGACGTACTCGTAGCTAGAAGGTGTAGACTGATAGGACACTTTGAACTTTGACACAAGAAAGGAAGTGAACTCTAGTTGTTGTCCTTGCGTGATGATACCAGATACCCTAGTAGTTTGGATGAGATCCACCTCGATCCAACGGTAAGCATCTTGACTGTGTGCAATTCAGGGGATAAAAAAAATACTGAAGTAGGAGCAGTGATTATACAAACAGAAACAAAAATATAATAATGTGTTACATTTGAGGTGAATAGATTGCAAAATCTGACTTCGACTCTGAATTGAAACTCGGGTCAACTTCGACTCGGGTCAAAGTTCATGTCTTCGAGTCGAAGATCGAAAGCCTGTTTCCATTCTAAACAGAAGTCATTTTTATACAAATGTTAAAAGATAAATATTCCAAAGATGTTACTTTTAAATGTATTTGGGGAAAACGATTTGAAAAGACGAATAAATTAGTGCCGGTTATTTTATGGGCCATAATGTAGCACAGAAGAATGGCCGAGTCAGTAGTGAGCGCGCGCGAAAATTTAAGCTCGTTCTGCAAATAAAACGTAGGCTTTCTCGGTAATTGAAGTTGTTTTTACATTGACCGAGAAATGATTGTTGACTTCCAATACCCACAATTTTGGGCTCCAATACGTTGGAGCATTCAGTCGAGCCATTTCAGGCAGATTTACGTCATTGCTATCAGAAGCCCTGAAGTTTTCATCTGGGATGGTACCGTCTTCAATACCCAAAGTGTGAGGATTTGAACAGCCGTCTGGCGGCGAATCTAAAATAAAATGGATAACACCAAAGAACGTTAACCCTAAAAGGCTGGGTTATTTTGACCATCTCTCAGCCGCCCCCCCCCCCCCACCCCCAAGATCTCGGCCATTGAGTGACAAAAAAATTTGAAACTCAGTACATGCATAGAGCAACTCTTCATGAACATACCCAAGAAATTTCATGACTATAGGTCAAAGGGTTTTGGAATTTTGGCTAATTAATTATTCATATGTACGAATAGCAATTCTGCTCCGTGTCCACGACGTTTATAGGAAAATTCATTTTTTACGGCGCGTAGAGCCGGAAAAGTTTTCGCTACGCGGAAACCCGTGGTCCGATTTTTATGTTTTTGGCATCAAAAGATGCGCAAGGCTCGAGGCTAAAAAGTCATAAAAGCTCGGGTCGCGAAAAATGTTTTTAAGGTTATCGCGGAAAAAGTTGAGGGGGGGGGCGGATTCCGCCCCGGCCCTTTTAGGGTTAAGTAAACAGCAAACTGTTCATTCCAAAATCACTTTGAGATACGTTATTATTAAACACAGCATTAATTAAAAACATTTTCAATTAACTTGTAGCAATAAAATGTTATCATGTAGGCATACATGTGCCGTGTCTTCGCTTGCGCTACATTCCTAACTAAAAAGAAATCTGGAGATTTACTTTAACTTGGGCTTGGTCATCACGCCCCACCCGTCCCGCCCTGTTAACCTATCACGGTAGAATCGTGACAACACAGCTTGTGAAATATTGTCCAATTACATGATCTACAAGTACAGTGGACGCGGAACGCGCAATATCGGAGACAAACAAAACTTAACGTACAAACTTCCATAGGGTTGTCTAAGGGGTTAGATGTTCATATTCATACTATATCCTAACATGCAAATTGTATGCAATCCTGCGTGCCTGTCAATCAGGGTCGACTTTTGCAGTGACGCGACATCATTAACTATCAGTAACGTGGCTTGAACTATTCATTGGTCAATTTGGATGCCTTTTTTTTTTAAACAGCAGCATGCAGGTTACCGAATACCCGACATAGAAGGCGCCCGCTGAATGGTCAGGCAAAGATGCAGTGATCGCCGAGTCTGCTCACATATCATATCTCCTTGCCGTTTTATTCCATAAACTTGCCCCGCCCAGCAAACTACCGCCCAGCCAACGTCTTTGTTTTTCACTGAGAGGCTAGTGCTGTTTGAACCAAAGATAAAGACACACATGCACACCAAGTATACAGCCGTATAGTGAACGCATTCTTGTGACATTGAACACAGATTACGATTTCATGATTTCAAACATCTGACAAAATAACAAATGCCAAATACAATGGTTACATTTCAGAAGCAGCCAAGAGCGTTACGTACCAAACAAGCTGTTCCTCTGCATGCCTTTAGTCTTTTTTTTCTACCCGTGTTTATAAGACAAAGCAGTAGTTGGCCTTACCCAGCTCTCCGAGGACACCACACCGTCTGGGGCAACGTCTACGCACTATTGGAGACTCCATCAATTGTTTCATCAAATGACGAAGATCCGTGTTATTCCCGTCGGGCTTTGGCGGTACACCGATCCAGCAAGCCCTCATCTTGCTCGCCACACAATCCATGATTAGCACACCTTTAGATTGAAGCAGAAGATAAATACACGGCGAATTATCTTGATGTGTTTTATTCCCCCAAAATAATATGGAATGGACAAGAGATAGCTCTATCGGGGGTGGGTATTATGTGCCCATTTTTGATATTTTTAGCATAGCACGGGAATGCTTCATTCGACTGCAATGAAATTTGGTGATTTTTTTTTCAATGAATGGAGGATGGAGGCAATGTTGAGCCAAATTGAGCCAAAACAATTTTCGAAAAGCTCAAGTGGTTTCCTTGGCAGCAATTTTAAAAAAATGTAACCCCAAACTTGCCATGTATTCTCTGTAAACCATGCATGGCGGGAACTCACCGGACCAACCTAATTATGACCCGAGTGTGACACCTATTGGGTGGAGATCATCTTCTAAAACTTGCCGAGGCTTTTCCTTAGACGAGAAACCACTCAGAGCGACCTCAAGGCTAAGGGTGAAGGTACGTTTTGGTGGAAATATACCGCCGACTGTGACATGAACGATTGGTAACATATTTAACATGAAACAGAATTGTGGGCATCATTTATTAGTCCCTGGCCAGGAGGTCCCCTTCACCAAAACAGTTTAAATTTCTAGTTGCCTTGCCCATTCAAATACCTTGCTGCTTGTTTTTTTTCTCAATTTTATAGTGCCTTTTGCATTATAATTCACTCGAATCTCTCTTTTACCGAATCTGTATTTTTTAATGCCCATTTGTGCTTTTAAAGTTTTAACTGCTTGTATAGTTGTATATTCTTATACTGTAAGCCATGTTTTAATAATGTCCATTTGTAATGTCCTTTTGTATTGTCTCTTCTTAAATTGTGGCATCAGGAGATTAACTCGATAGTAATTTAGTTTACTTTTTTAAAATCCATCAGGGGTGCTACTTTTTTTTTTCTCTCTCTCTTTTTCTTGTTCTCTCTCCTAACTGTATGTGCATGTTTTTGTTTTCTTTACTGTTGTTATTGTCTGTACTTGAATTTTTACCTGTGAAATTAATAAATGAAATGAAAATGAAATGAAATCCTTAAGCAGCAATGATCATTTAGTCAGCAATAATCAATCAATGTAACTGGAGTTAATTGGCGAGGTGTTTTATTATCTTTGTCCTTGCTTATTGGGGAGATGATGTAAATCTACTGCTCGCAGCAGCAATGCGCAACAGCATAAACAATCCACAACGATGTTGAGAAACGCGCGGCACCGCAAAGTACAAAGAGCGCCACCGTACCTTGCGGCGAGATACGCAAGCGCATGATTGTCAAGCGTCTGCGCGGCAAGCCGAATTTGGGAGAGGAAACTAAATGTATATGGCCGGATACGAATGGTAAGGGCATTCGCCGTTCCCTTCTGATAACTGTTGATTATTGCTAATAGTGTAATTCCGATAATTAGGGCCGGGGGACGGAATCCGCCCCCTCCCCACGACTTTTTCCGCGATAGCCTTTAAAAAAGTATTTCGCGACCCGTGCTTTTATGACCGTTTAGCCTCGAGCTTTGTGCATCTTTGGACACCAAAAACATAAAAATCGAACGAGGGGTTGTCGCACAGCGAAAATTTTGGTATAGCCGCTGGAAGACGAGATGGGGATAAAGATGCCAATCACTTGTTGGAGTGATAGTACAACAGTGTCGTCGTGGATAGGGTATGAGTCTTGCCGTTACGTCCGATACATTGAAGCACGAGCAGCTGAAATTCAGAGACTTACTGACTACAGAGTGGGGTGGTACGTAGAAATATCAGATGCTGAACTCAAACACCAGGGATTTACTGCACACACCGTAGCCTCAGTCATACTCATGTCTGGTCTAGTCATAGACTTCACCCAATATGCCTCCTCGGACGACTTAGTTGACGGTTATTGTGCGGCCATTCGTGAGTCCAAGGGGGAGCCGAAGCCTGACTTCCTGACAGCAGATGACACCACCGTTTAGAAACCGACAGTTTTCCAGAAGTTGCTGCTCTTCAGGCCAGCAAAGGCGTGTCCCAAAAGAGCAATCTTGTCAGCCTTGCCCCATAGCTCGATGCAGAGTACGTCATCTCTCCCGAATCGGAGGAAGGCTCCGCCAGGCCCAATCAATAGATGAGACCGTGAAGCACCGAGTAGTGCTTGACCCGAAGCACCCCATCACCCTCCTGAAGAAAGCTTGAAGCGCAGCAGATTGTGGGTGTTACGACGACACCAAGCTATCGTGGCTTACAGAGCCGTTGCTACGGATGCCTGAAGAGAAACGGAAGACCATTGGTACTAAGGACGGTAGATCATCCGCCTGCTTGTTTGAGGATCGGGGAACCCCCGTTCTTTTCCAACGTGTGGACTGTTTTGGACCGAACTGACTCCATCGGAAGACGCAGTGATCAGCGCTCAGCCAAGGGAAATCATCTGGAAATGCATGACAACTGTCTTGTTAGTCTCTTGACTCTGACACTTTCTTATTTGCAATCAATCCTTTCCAATGAAAAAGGCTTATGAAACCATGACTCCCATCCTCAAGAAGAAGCTTGCCAAGTTCAATTCCCCCTTCTGCGCCTCATTTTGGTGGCACATGGGAGAGGGGAGATACGGTCTGTGAAGTCAGCCCTCTATGCGATTCTTGGCAACCAGACTGTTACCCAAACGGTCTTGTGCACAAGACTTAGTCTTACAGAAGGTACAGAGAGTTACATCTCATCCGATGTCGCTGATCCAGACCCTTCGCTGTCATTTATGTTGCTCATGGGGCGGCTGGATCATGCGCCTCCTCAGTTGGTATATCCCGACAGAGATCTACTTAGTCGCCGCCGCTGGAGGCAGTGCCAGGTGTTGATGCAAAGCTCCTGGAAATAATTTATTCAGTCCTACTAATGGTGAGGTTAAGCAGAAAACCTTAATGCAGGCGATGTTCTCCTCATGGCTGATCCTCATCAAGTGCGTTTGCCCCATGGCCGTTAGCAAAGGTTATCAACGGGCATAGGGTTAATAGTCGAGTCCACGCCGTCAAACTGCAGGCTGATATGGTCGAGAATACGTCTGCCCTGTCGCCCGCCTCAGCCAGATGTTGACTCGGAAGGCTGAACAGATCGCGACTTGATAGAACGTAATCTTTCAGTCACGACTGAAAGCTTACGTTCTATCAAGTCTTTGCCTAACCTCCATTATACATTGTTGCATTTAAACCTGTTGCCTTTAACCCTTTTTCCTTTAGCCATACTTTTAGCATTTTTAGTACTAATTTCTGTAAATCTGTTATTAACCCCTTAAGGACGGGTTACAATGGGGACATTCCTCCACACATAGAGCAAGTGGCCCGCATGACTGCGCAGCCTTTGTGTGGTAGCGGGACTGCACAAAAGCAGCAGCTGTGGAACTACCCACTAGCCGTGTGCCACGGCATACCACAGCTGGCAACTGCATTCCATGGAGGATTTAATAGCGGCCGCGGCCATGACCGCTTGCCGTATGCATGGGGTTAAACCTTTTGTGATTCGTTTGTAAACTGTCACTTGCAGTTTAGGGGCGCTGTGTTGAGGAACGCGGCACCGCAAAGTGCAAAGAGTGCCACCTTGCGTCAAAGTATGTACACTTAGGGGCATTCCCAGAGCATATCCAGTGCTACCATGTATTTTAAAATTAAATCTGAGCTACTTTAATTTATCATTGTACTTCTCAAGCCACCAAGGGCTTCAACGCAGATATATAATAAGCACACTCTGTACTGCCATGCCCAGTTTCTGCGCCTGTCATTTTCTCCCCCCCCCCCCCGCCATGATTCCACAACAATATCAGCAATGCACCACAATGTCAACAATGAGCACCAGCATCAGCAATGTACAACAACATAAGCAATGTAGCATCAGCAATGCGCGACATCAGCAATGTACAACAGAATAAGCAGTCGTACATCTTTGTACTCGCTGTGCATCCACCATGCAAGCCAGCTATGACATCCTTGTAATTGCAACACGAAATCAGCTATACATACAAGGGTAACCTCAAAACACATACGACCGACTTTGTACGAATCATTTCACAAACTTAAGCATTTCACAAACGCAGAGCACAAGTAAACCTACTTCTTGTCTGCCCGCCCCCTATATCCACAGCGCTGAACTGCACCGAGCGTCATGTGTGTACGCAGCACCTCACTGGACGCTTAGCTCCGCCCAGTCACGCACGCATACTACACTTAGTACACTAACACTATTGCAATACAAATGCATAGGGAATTAACTGGCCATAAGTCTATACACACTTTCAACTGACACACATCAGTTGTCAATTTAACGAGCGGATTCGTGGGAGGATCGGATTTCTGGCTAAAATAACCCCCCAAATGGTTATACATTATTAACTTACATTAAAGGTAGAGTCCATCATTTGCAGCCATCCGAAAAGTAACTGGCGTAATTATTGTTGAAAAACTAACTTGGTTGAAAGATAGTAAGGAGACTAAACTCCCTGTGAAATTATTCTTTCTGGGAAGCTGTCATTTTGAAGTAATCAACGAAAGAAGGCATTTCCAACGGTGATTCTTAAGAAGCACCGTAGGAAAATTTAAATTAGTAGTTCGTTTTGTTATTCAGCGAAGCGCGCACAAGTATTCGAAAGACGCACACGCGCGCGCGGTTGTTATAATTCGTCGGATCAGTGCGCGACGTCGCGTATAGTTGCAATTCAAAACATGATTCAGTAACTTTTGATTTGAAATTGAGATCTTAGAATGCTGTTTTTCTCGGAATGTACAGCTGAAGCTTAGCTGAAACTTCATCAGGTAAGTTGCTCAGTATTCTTCATTAGATTTTGAACTATTTTGTTGCTTCAAACGAACAAAATGCACAAATTACAAATGATGGACTCTACCTTTAAAGTTTACTTTACGTTATCATGCCACCCTGAAGGAATACATGTATTGGTATCAAGTGTGAAAGAAATCAAATGGAAATCGTCGAAATTATTATGCACTTATTATTCTGCACACAGCACAATACCGTTTCCGACAAATGCGAGCAGAAGAAACATCAGAATGACGTCACACTATGAAGAACCACCATTTCCCTTTAGGAATATTGAAAATAGAATAAATGCACGAGGGAACATTTACCTTACAAAAAGCCCCGGTCGTGAAAAAGTTTACGCCAAGAATATCGAATCGAACTGTCAATAACGATTGGGTGAGTCCGGTCGAGTCAGTCTGAACTTCGGGGGAAAAAATTTCTTTCTACCTGTTCTCTATATTTCGACATGTCCAAAATTACTTCCTTTCCTTTTTTTCCATAAGGAAAAGACTTGTATGAAAGATGACGAGTTTTTCGAACTAGTGCACACCGAGCAATGAATGTTTATTTGTTCGTGTTCACATTGCATGGGGAAGCCTGAACACTAGCAGGATGAACGTGCATGCGAACGGCAATCTCAAATGAATGCACGAAACTATTATAGCACATAAAATAAAAACGGTATTTGAATGAAATATTACAAGAACAGGTCTGATTGAAGATCAAACAAACAAACAAACAAATGAGAGCAGGAGATATCTCATTTGTCAAACTTACCAACGATGGTTGCAAAGAACACCCAAACCGCCAAGTACCGCGACATACTGATGCAATTCTACAAACTGGGTACAGTGATTGTGTAGGTCTATCTATCCTATCAATCGAGAAAGAATCTGATGAGCAACGTGTATTGCAAGAGAGCTTTTCGGAATGAAGTGTAAACAATGCCCGGCACTTGACTGTTGATGGCCGCGCAGACACAGCGGTCTGTACTGACTTGATTGGGTTTGAATTGGGTGATGCGTAACACTAATCGCGTAATGGACACTAATTTGAGATCTTCCAATCTCATAATTGAGCTCTTTGGGAAATGAAACTCAACTAAAAAAAACTTGTCAAGGGTTCGAGCTAAAGATCAAAGAAAATAAGGCCTTTCCTAAGCTATTGTTATGGCTCAAACAGTAATCGGTCATTGACTCCAAGGGCATGGTCGTAACCTGACCAGCAGACCTTATGGTCGTTGTCCCAAATGGTGTTTTTCGTCTTCATTGGCACTTTTTTTTTTTATAGTACCGAAAGAGTTTTGTATTTCTTGTCGTATACATATCCTTGACAAATAATATTGAAATATCTCTACTCATTGAACGGCCCGGGAAGTCTGGTTCGACACCCCCCCCCCTCCCAAATGGGGCAGCGTCTGCAGGCTAAATGCTGTCGAAGTTTCAAATGCAATTCCAAATGCGTGCATTTATAAATATTTTAAAATTTGATCAATTTCGATTGCAGTGTCGGATCGACGGGGGAACTTCACCTCACCCTTTTTTAATAGTTTTAATAGGCCTCTAGAAAATAACATGAAAGTATTTCACCATGTTGTCGTGTTCATTCCATTTAACACGTCGAAAAGGGGTCCAAAATGGGCCATCGTCCATGTTTTTTCGGGCAGAAAGCGCTGCCGTGCGCGCCCATATAGCAGAAGACGCGAATTTGAAACCCACCCAAAGATTTTAACACCAGAAACCCACACCAAAGATTTTAACACCAGAAACCCACACCAAAGATTTTAACACCAGATATTGCGTTGGACTCCCTCCGAAAACACTGACTGGAAATAAACTACAGAAATAACTTGGCACGTCTGGAAATGTCATAAAAGAATTAACACCGTTGAGCTGCACTTCCCATGCAAACTCTAGCTGATGTGATTCGGGTAGCCGTTTAGTCGGAGTACAAATAACGAACCAGATTCGGCTCCAGAAGTTTGGAAACCTGGGTATCGAATGCTGAAAATGATGAAGCCGAGGTGCAAATCTGCACTGGTGTCATAGAGTTGTATTATTGACCAGTGTGCGTTACCATACACAGCCATTGATCTCCATTTCTAATGGGGATCGTACTGACAGCACAGTGTTACAGAAGTACGGATAAGACCCCTCTCACACCAATACGTGAAGCCATTTCGTGGCCACTTTGAGGTGTCCGTGGGCGCCGGCAAAAGTTTAAAAATCGAAGTTACCACGAAATGGAATCGGATCTCACGGGTTGCCACGAACTAACCACGAATTAAGGACGTGTCGATTCTATCCGTGGGCCGATTCTTACGGATGCTCCACGGATCACCCAAAAAGTTTTTGGACATGTTGAAAAACTGAAACATGTGCACTTCGGAAATTTATTGCCGAATTGAAAACGTGTTCAATACGGCTTATTCGAAGTACTCTCGTAGTGTTCTCGAGGTTGGGCTGAAGTTACAACGGATTTTACGGGATGTCCCCGGATAGATTGTTGGCCTGATTTACGGCCGTTTTCATTACGCGGTACTCGATGGTACTACGGGGTTATCCACGAAGTGTCCACGAGTTGGCCACGAAGTGCTCACGGACTACATGTAGTACTCTCGAGCTGGTGCCGTGGTCACCACTGACACCACGCAGTAGTCTCGAGCTGGCGCCAAAGTCACCACGGGATGAAATCGGGATGGCCATGAGATGTCGCCGGCTTGCAGTCCGTGAATTCCAGGAAACGGGCATGAGCACGGGTTGGTCCCGTGGTGTTTCCGAGGTGGCCACGGATTACTCACGAAGTAAAAACGGGTACCACGAAATTAAAAAAACCTGCTGGCATAAAAAAAAAACGGGGGGGGGGGGACAGAGACCACGGATACTGTTGAAAAAATTGCATTTCCGAAGTAACCTCGCACTGGTCTTGGATTGGTGTGAGAGGGGCATAACGGCCGGGTATATCCCAACTATTTGTCGATGCAGCCATTACAGTCGTATCTCCTAAAATAGCGTTAACGTGAAACGTGAGTCTTAGAATGTCTAAAGGTCGTATCTCGCTTAAAACATCCCGGATGTCCACACCAAAAGTCAATGGACGTCGAGATACGACGTTTTTTGCACGGAGCGTATTCGCGCGAGATTGTTGCAGAATCGAGTAACGACCTTTGCTGCACTGACACGACGAAATCTAGCACTAACACTTTAAAGTTAAACCTGAGCTATACTTCTTAAGCAACCGTTCCAATTAAGGGTCTCAACACATGATATTGACAATAAACACACCCTGTACTGCCACGCCCAGTCTCTCCATTGGTCATTTTCTCTGCCCCTCCCACAACAATCGCAATGCACCACAATGGGTACGTTTGAGTAGCTCACCTGGATCGACTCGGGTAAAAGGCAGACGGGTTAACGTTAGCGTACGACAGCCGCTAGTCGAACTCTAGGCCGCGGGCCATCACGATCCTCACGTGACGCCCGTAGCAACAGCCGTCATGACCGTAGCCACTGACAAAAAACTCATTTCGGATTGGGTTTTAGTTTGAGATTTACTGCTTAATTTTCAGTCAGTTGCAAAACTCAAAAAGTTGGCTGGAATTATAGCTTAAAAAATTTCAATGAATTCAATAAAAAATGATTACCTTTAGACTTCAAATAAAGTTGATTTTGAAGCTTGAGACTTCCGCCGTCCGGCCGCCATATTTGTCCTTTTCTTGGAATGAACAACGCATGCGTGTGACGTATTTTCACCAGTGACTCTGCTCCATGATCAGAGTCACATGTGGTGGCTGACCCGGTTGATGATGGCCCCGAATATGACGTCAGAGCTAATCGAATGGTACGGGGTGACCCGTGTCGACCCGGGTGAGCTAAACGAACGCACCCAATGTCAGCATGTGCACCGTGACCGTAAATAATGCGCACCAGCGTCAGCAATGTACAACGTACATCATAAGCAATGTACAACAATGAACAACATCAGCAGTGCACAACATCAGCAATATAATTATGTACAACAGCAAAAGCAAAATGTGGAGAGGTACAGTTTTGTACCGTGACTATACGCACCAAGCAAAATGATAGCAACGTACAGCTATGACAGTCTCAACACATAAGCTATATATACATGCCAGCGTACGGTAACCACAGCACAGCTCATGCGACGATGATCGCGGGCATCATTTCACAAACGTAGAACACAAGTAGTAATTAAAGCTACTTCTTGTGTAGACTTGATGACAGTCGAACTCCATCGGCGCGGCTGGTAAAGGACTAGTACGTAACCGGCCGGGTTGCGACGAATCTAACGACTTGACGATTACGTTCTCGCAGCGTCGTTCATATAATTATGCAAGCAGCCGGCGCAATACCGTACGTATTGCATTTTTGCGGTGAGATCCATGCACCGCTATGCAAATGAGGACTCATTCACTCCGTTACATGGGGAGCTCTGTCAATTGTGTATAGCCTTGATAAAATGTATCTATTATGATATACTTGATTTATTTGAGTCGTGTACGCCCTTTAATGAATTGTGTAGTGTTACACACAACTGAACACAAAGTACACACCGTCGAAGTAATGAGAATGATTTTCCGTGGCGGCCTAGAATACACTTTAATCTGAACCAATCAGAGAGGTTGCATAGAATTCGCTAGCGATTATGTTGTGTACAAAATTGATCATCAGTAGTCAGCATCATTTGGTCTAGGAACCAGGCTACGCGTATTGTAGCGATATTTTGCGTGCTTGGAACACCGGTACCTTACCAACCTCGTTCCCCATGGGTACGATCTTGCTGCGCCATGTTGTCTCCCGTCATGCCTTGCGCGATCTTAAGGAACGCGCACGTACGCGCCCATGGAGTCGAGGCTGGGACACCGTACGCAAAACAAGCTTGGCACCAACTTAAGTCCACTTCTTGTACTGTGGCCGCCCCCGATCGATGTCCATCTCAACTCACACCGAACGTCAGTGCGCTAATTGCGTAATGGACACTAAACGCATGCAGTGAGAGCTTCCAATCTCATTGGGCTCTTTAGGAAATGAAACTCAACTAGAAAAAGTTGTCACAAAAGAAGGGTTCGGACTAAAGGTCAAAGAAAATAAGGCATTTCTAATAAGCTTGATGTTATGGCTCAAACTGTAATCGGTTATTTGACTCCAAAGGCATGGTCGTAATCTGACCAGTGCTGATCTTCACCTTACGCCGATCGTTGTCAAATGGCGTTTTTCGTCTTTATGCATTGTCTTTTTGTATCGTACCGACAGAGTTTCGTATTTTTTATCCTTGACCTTTTATTATACAAATAGTATTGAAATAACAGAAGAAGACGCCAATTTGAAACACACCCCAAGATTGTTTTTATTGTTATTTTTTACACCACACATATATACCAGATAATATCGCGTTGAAATTGGAACACTCTGAAAACACGGACTTAAAAGAAACTAGAGATATTTCTAACTTGGCACATCTGGAAATTGCAGAAAGAAGTGCAATAAGCCGTTTGCGAGGATACCCTTTGGCATTTTAAAGTTGAAAACATCTGGTACACTGACTTGCTCAGAATGCTTGGCACATTTTAACTTTGAATTCTCCAGACCAAAGACACTGGTGCTACATGGGCACGCTCTTACATAGTTACGTTAGAGACGCTCAGCACACATGCAAAGCATTGGATTAAGTCAGCGTTCCAGATTTTATTCAAATTTAACTCGCAAATGGCTTATTGAGCTGAATGGTCCGTGTACATACCGTCCAATCAGTTACCGTTTAAAAATCATCAAAAGAAAAAAAAACGAACCCTTTACCGTTTACCCTGTTATAATCTCTGTAAAGAAACAGAACAAAGTACATCGTTTACCAGTTACCGTTTATGCGTCTGAAAAAAAACCCAGAAAAACAAACTTGTTGTACCGTTTATCGTTTTTGAATCTGTAAACAAACAAAAAACAAAAAAACAAACCCTTTACCCATTTCTGTTTTAGAATTTTGAACTGAAAAAATGATTGAGTGATTTAAGGGTAAGCAAAAGTGGCTATAGCGAGCCAAATTTTCAAGACAAAAATTAAGCCACTCAAATGGAAGGTTGTACGTGGTCTCAGGCAGTTTTTTTGTAGAGTGTGTATCCGTAAGAATAAGTATATGAGTTTTAAACTCATGTTTGTCCCCAAAAATTAGGCCAAAGTCACAGGACTTGGGGGCGTGTCCTCAAAGCAATATACCCCTGGGAACACGAACTTGCGGATAAGCCGGGGACCAATATTTTTTCTTGTTTACCCATCCTATCATGGTCTTGCGACAGGTCACCATGGGACCATTTTTGAGAGAGCAGCTAGTGGCCCAAAATATGATTCTGGCTCACAGTTTCTCCAAAAATAAGCCCCCTACATGACAGGGTCTTTTTAAGCTGGAGCCTTCGGGCAAACTACCGGCTCAGTGTAACTTATGAGCAGTTTGGATGTCCTACAACAGAAAATAATATTCAGATTAATCATAAAAAATGTTGCGATTAAATGGCCTTATCCCAGGGACTATATGGATCGCAAGATCCGTGCATCCTCCATGATCTGTGGTTCGAACCCATGTCAATTTTCATCAAATATTTTCGTTGGTTGGGATAAGTTTAATTGAAGGGAAAACACTACGAGAACCTCAGTGTCTTCGATCCACACAGCGTGATAAATATAAATACATGTATGTTAGGCCAAAAAAATACTCCGGTCTCTGGTCAGCGCGCGCGTCGATTTTAACCATGCGCGTCAACCTTTTTTTTTTTCCTTCAAATTAACACGGAAGCTACAACAGCGCCCTCTATTGCCGCACCTCCTCAAATTTTTGTACCAAGGAGCACCAAGGAATGGGGAAATTGCACCAAGGCAAATGATAAAGGGCATCAAGGCAAATTATGGAGAACACCAATGTATAATGAGGGCACAAAAAAAGCAAAATAGTACCCACCTTGTATGTATACAATTCAAGCTTGGGGGAAAAAAAACGCGTCGCCACATCAATTCCGGAACTGATCGGTCTGACCAGAGACAGATTATTTTTTTTTTTTGTCCTTAGAGTGCGTGATATTATGGAAGTGTAGATAGGACATGGTTAAAAATAAAACTACATTACTGGACCAAGCCCAGTCTAATGTGGCTTTCGCGAACCCGTGAATCCCGGGTTCGTATTCATGAGCCCCCTACTAAGATAATGGCTATTTAATCAGTTGATGACCATAAATATGTTCTTGATAAGCACTCAGGCTATCCCCAATGTATATGCGTCTGTTGTTTAGAGCCAGCCTGCCTCCCATCAGAATTTGAGTGATGAGTGATGCGCCAGTTAAGTGCTGGAAAGCTACCAACAGCTAAGAAAGCCACTTTAGACTGGGCTTGGTCCAGTAATGAATTCGTACGTACGAATTACTAAACCGTACGTACGAAATATTAATTCGTACGTACGAATTAGATTTATTTTTAACCATGTCCTATTTACACTTCCATATGAAAGTGAGGCCGAGGTTTGGAAAATGGTCCCAAATCTTCACTGGTGCGCGGTTACCGCATTATCAAGTACGGCTGTACTGTACGGGTACCAACTATTTTATCCAAGATGTCTCGCAGGCACTCCGGCTCGAGCAACGAAGGCGATTGGGTTTGCCCCGATCCTAAGTAAGCTGTCCCATCAACTTCCATAATTTTAGAAGGCGTAGGCATAGGCTATAGTAATAAATTTAGAAATCATTAAAAAACGTGATGGACATATGCGGGCATAGTGAAATGTTGTGGGGGAAAGGGTCCCAACCTAGCCCAGGTGGACCATGGAGGAAGGAATTAATTAATTCCTTCCTCCATGGGTGGACTCCCTTTCCTCCCTACATAACGGAGGGAGTCCAGGGTATGAAGTGCTCAAAACCGGGCGAAAAAATGTATGACCAATATTTTCAATATTTTTTACCTTGTTGGAGAAGCCAATTTTTACGTCGTAGTATTCTATGTGTACGTATCTATTAGGCCGCTGGGTTCAGGAATTCCATAATGCGATGCTGACCGACCTTAACCTGGAAAATAAATTCTAAAGCAACGTTAAACTTGTACGTGTTTGTAGACTCTTTTCATCGGTTTCTCACCGCAGAGTCTATTCTAGTCGTAGATGACGTAAGTCCGTGCAGCGTGTAGTCTGGTTCCCTAGACCTGTCAAATATTCTCGGCACTCATATCACGTCTGGTCTGGGAGCCAGACTATGCAGCGTGAATATGTAGTGCGCACGCGCGATTTACTTAGTAACCACCCTCATACGCGCGCACGCGCACTTACTTGAAGGCGCGTCGCTAATCCAATGACCGAGCGTGTTTTCGCGCCAGTTACCAGAAACATGTTTCGGCTTTGGTCATTGGTTGAGCGTTTTTGTGACGTCGGTTGGCTGGAGTGACGTTCCAACCAAAACTAAACAAATGAGGGCGCTAGCGTGCGTGCGCGCTTTCGTGCGCACGTACATGACGTGCGCACGATGAAAAGACACTACAAACACGTACAAGTTTAACGTTGCTTTAAAGTTTATTTTCCTGATTAATGTCGGTCAGCTTCACATATGGAATTCCTGGACCCCTGGATCAATAGAGAAGGACACAGAGAAAATGTAGGCCTGAAATAAGCTTCTGTAACCAGGTAGGCCCCCTAAAACGTAACAAAAATCTGGTCCAAATTTTGGGTGGTCTTACGTAGAGAATTCTCATCCTGGACGTTAATGGTAATGCAATGAAGACTTCGTCCAACCTGGCCTGGGCTAGGTCCCAACCTAGCCCAGGTGGACTCCCTTTCCTCCCTAGGTAACAGAGGGAGTCCAGGGTATGAAGTGTTCAAAACGGGTGAACAAATTTATGACCAATATTTTCAATATTTTTACCTTGTTGGAGAAGCCAATTTTTACGTCGTAGTATTCTATGTGTCCTTATCTATTGGGCCGCTGGGTTCAGGAATTCCATATGCGATGGAATTGTAGACTCTTTTCATCAGTTTCTCACCGCCGAGTCTATTCTAGTCATACATGACGTACGTCCGTGCAGCGTGTAGTCTGGTTCCCTAGACCTGACAATTATTCTCGGCGCTCATATCACGTCTGGTCTGGGAGCCAGACTATGCAGCGTGAATATGCAGTGTGCACGCGCGATTTGCTTAGTAACCATTTTCATAAGCACGCGCACTTACTTGAAGGCGCGGTCGCTAATCCAATGACTGAGCGTGTTTTCGCGCCAGTTAGGCCTACCAGAAACATGTTTCGGCTTTGGTCATTGGTTGAGCGTTTTCGTGACGTCGGTTGGCTGGAGTAACGTCACTGTTCCAACCAAAACTAAACAAATGAGGCCGCTACCGTGCGTGCGCGCTGTCGTGCACACGTACACGTTATGACGTACGACTCGGGAATAAAACTGATGAAAAGAGACAACAAACACGTACAAGCTTAACGTTGCTTTAGAGTTTATTTTCCTGATTAATGTCGGTCAGCATCACATATGGAATTCCTGAACCCCTTGATCAATAGAGAAGGACACATAGAAAATGTAAGCGTGAAATAAGCTTCTGTAACGAGGTAAAACGTAACAAAAATCTGGTCCAAATTTTGGGTGGTCTTATGTAGAGAATTCTCATCCTGGACGTCAGTCGTAATGCACTGAAGACTTCGTACAACCTGGGCTAGGTCCCAACCGTGCCAACCGACTACCGAGTCAATTCGCACCCAAATTATTGTAGCCGACATACAGACATACATTGTATGCCCGAGTCAACTCACACCCTATCCCCATGTCTCAAATATTGGGATTTCGGACAACTATGAATAAATAATATGGATGTCTCTTATCTGCCGCCAAGCACATTAATGTTCGCCTCACCTTAAAAAACTCTACAAACTCATCAGGCAATTTTTTTCCCCTGCCCTAGTCTTTGAGATTTGCAACATGATTTATTTTCACAAAAACAATAAGTGCCTACCGCCGCCCTTTCACCAGTGTTCACAGGTTGATGCCACACAAATCAACACAGTTTTGTGCATTCACCATTCATATTCATTACAAAAAAACACTCCCTTTGCAGCTGGATATAAAAAGGTTTTTATTCTTTCTTCATGCATTGTTTGTTTCAGATGCGGCAATGTGAATTTCTCTCGAAGGCATCAGTGTAATCGATGTGGTGCTGGTAAGACTAGAGTCAACTTTTCGGGTGTTTCTGTTGGATATTTGTATAAAATTTCAGGTCGATTCTTGAAAAAGGAATAAGTACATGTAGTTTTATCAGTTTCATAGTTCCAAACATCAAACGAAAGTGTGTGTTTCCTCGATTTCTCTCTTAATTCCTTCATCATGTCCAAACAGAGGGTGAAGTAAATCAGGCACAAAAATTGTTCATTCAATCTGATCAGGCACACCCAGTTTTGAGCTTTCTCAATGCACCAACCTGCTAATTGTGCAAATGTTGACTGAGCTTAACAGTTTTCGATCATACAAAATACATGTACAGTCATTGTTCGAGAAAAAAAAATCACTCTCACTTCTAGAGCTAAGTTCCAGGGTGGGACGATAAAAATCTAATTGCCTTCTGCCCTAAGTGAACTTGGAATATGCATTGTCTTGTTTTTGTCCTCAGAGAAGAGCCACGTCACGATCAAAGCCGGAGGGTCAGCTATCGGCAAGCAGTTAGCAGAGAAGAGTAAAGGACTGTTCAGTGCTGATGACTGGCAGTGCAAAACGTTAGTCCAAAAATGTGGAACTCTTAGTACATGTACCATCTACTGAGAGTTCAAAAACTAAAATAAAGTGGAAATTTGCAGAACAAGAAAGCAGAGTAGCCCATGAAATAACCAGTGCTGCATGATGAAAATATGGCTGCATCTGAGTTGTTTGGCTATGGCCAGTAACACACATGACTCTGTGGAAAGTAGCTTCCATCGCTTCAATTGGTGCATGTATTTTGCTAGTCCGAAAATTTGGGACTCTCAATACTGTGTATGAGAGTCCCAAAACTTAAGGTATTGAAAACATGCAAAACAAGAAAATAGACTGGCACCTAAAACAACCAGTCCAACACAACTTCAGTACTGCATCAATCAACCATGCCAAAAGAATTTAAGAAACATGGGCATGAAGCGGGAACTAGTCTCAATTTACTACACATTGCTCCATAGTCAAGCCACCAGACTATTGACACTGAATAAAGAGGTCAGTCTTTTCAAATAGTTGGACCATGGATGGACATGTACCAGTCTAGTATTTAGCCCCATTTTGAAATCACTTGACTTCCCTCTCTTGTGCAAAATATTGAAGAAGAGTCTTCTTAAAAATGGAATTGAGTCTGCAAACTTGGTTGGTGAAATACTGAGGACATTTTCTTTGCCCCAGTGGAATTTTTTGGAGAAATTTGCTGGCTAAACTGTGAGTAAAGTGGGCCTGATTTAGTTTTGCATGTTTCAGAGCACTCCAGAGCCCTGTCTGGTATTTTGCAAGCTATCAGCTATAGCTAAGTACATTTTGTAATCCAGATGCAGCGTATGTCTAGATTCTAAAGAAACATCCCCATTTCTATACAATTTCCCAACAGTCCTGCCACCAGACTACAATGTAGTTATTGGCCCCTCTTTAACCCTAACTCCCTAGGCCTTTTTGCTAGGATGTAGCATCAGTCCTGCAAAATCCTCCAATTGGCCTCATGGAAAAATAGCATATAGCCTCAATCCTGCAAATTCCTCCAGTATTTCTTGAATATGGTTCGTGGAGAGGTGACCACTGCAAAATCCTGCAAAATCCTGCAAAATCCTCCGGCTATGTCTGTCAATAGGCTGAGGCAGAGGTAGTGACATCCTGGAGCAGTGCGGAGGATTTCAAGTATAATCAAGGACGAAATTTGTGCTAGGCTGAGCATAAACAACACAAGGTCCGGCCCAAGACCTTGACACAGTGCGTCCTCCGAAATCAGCAACGCACTTTTGCCAAGTAACCTTAATCCTGCAAATTCCTCCAATTTGCAAAAAGGATTTTGGAGGATTCAGGGCGGTTAGGGTCCAGCATGTGTGTACTAGTACATTTTATTTTATAAGTTCAAATTTAAATCACGTGGCTTCACACATTTGCCAAAAACATGCAAAATGTTGAAGAAAACCTCTGCTTTATAATTTAAGCGAGACCTTAAACTTTGCTTGTGGAAGCGGAATACTGAAGACCTTAGGTTTTCTTCGTGGGAATTGTTGAGAATGTTGTTGGCTAAAGAGTGAGTAAAGTTGGCCTGTTTCTTCATGTTCTTGGGGATTTTTTTTGCACTTGAGGTCATTGTCCGGCAGAACGCGTGGGGTAAAAACACTGTGTCCTCTTCCAATGTAATTAATTTTTTTACAGCCCTGTCGGTTTTGCTTTACCTACATTTGGAGTGTATAATGAATCTTATATCCTCCAAAATCTACTACTGTGCAGAAACCACATTGCAAAGTCTTTGTACTGAAACTTTCAAAGATATAAGGTGTGCCCCATTGGACTTTTTTTTGGGTTAACTTACTGTGACTTGCCTGAAGAATGACACAATTAAGTCGAATGGGGACAGACGGTAAACTAACCTCCCTGTCCACCCCTAACCACCGCGACCGTGATGTTAAACTAATGGCCAGGCCGAAAGTGGTCATGGAAGATTTCTGCCAGCCACGGTAAGTTATCAGGGACATTCTGCCAGTCACTCATATTGAGTAAACGTTCCGTCGGTGTAAAAAAAAGTCTTGTGTCGGAATGCACAGTAGACTTACGCAAAAGAATGTCGCGGTAAGTTTCCGCATGGCCTTGGAAAAGAAAGTCTAACGGGAACGTGGCTTTAACTGCATGTGGAGTGATCGTGAGTGGGGTCTGCCTTCCTCAATCCTACAACATCCATACAAAATCCAGGCAGTTCTGGCATGAATAGTGATATCAATGAATAGGTAGAATTCATTCAGTGATAAATGTAAGTGTGTAGTGGTGGCTAGCTATAAACAACGTTTGACTTTTTTCGTAACAGCGTCATTGGGGTGAATTTGAAGGATCTCAAACTCTTCGTTTACATTGTCTACAGGTGCGGCAATGTCAACTGGGCAAGACGGAGTGACTGCAACCTCTGCAAGTCGCCCAAGTTTGGAAAAGTGGAAGCACGGACAGGTCGGAAATTTTATCCATTTGTGCCGACACGTTTCAAAGTTAATCCTCCATTTTATACTTTAAGCCCCCTCCACCCACAAGTTTTCTTCTTGTTTTTATAAGGATTTTGAAGGGTTCATTACAGTAAAGTTCGACCACTGTTTCTTAATATTAACTCATTGAGTATGGAATTAATTACATTAATTAGACAGAAAAACAATATTCATGCAATATTGTTTTATACATGTACTTTTGCCAGTCATCTTGGTTTTCTCCTGAATTTGACACTATCATCATCAGAACCTTGTATTGATATGCAAACAGGTTAACAAATTATTCATTGTTCCCTGTTTGCTAGAAATGGTGTCTTTGGGTTTTGGCCCTATACTTGCATAATTTTCTCAGCGAAGAGCAAAAACTTAATATTGAATTATATCTTCCTTGATGCCCTAATGCCAAAAAAAAAAAATACATCACAACAAAATATTCCATCATGACAACAAAAATGACTTTACTGGTTGTTCAATCTTGTCAGGTTACGGCGGTGGCTACAATGAGAGACTGGGTGTAGAGTACAAATCGGACAAAGAGGACTCGGATGGAGAATTTGATGATGTGAGTTGGAATGCTAACTAAATGTACTCAAAATTGAGAAGTTAAACGCCAAACTATGTACATGATGCAGGAGGTCATGATTCGTAAGACTTGCTCTACTACTTTCGACAAAACTTTGTCTTGAGGTTTGTTGGTACCGTCAATGGTTTCTGACGGGACATTCAATATCCCACTTTCCATGTATAATCAGTTTTCTAACTTATAACACTTGCTCTACTACCCCATCCAGTTTACTTCAGTATTTGCCAGAAATGAATAAGCCTTTTCGGAGTTCCAACTGCGCATTCATAATCTGTGACAACACGCATTGTTTGTCTCAAATGGCCTTTGACATCATCGCGCCACTGACTTTACAAAAAGGCTGTTTGTGCATTGTGGGTACTGTCAAAGGGCATTTGAGACAAACATTGTGCGTTGTCACAGGTTACGAATGCGCGCAGTTGGAACTCTGAAAAGGCTTATTCCCAATGTTTTTGGACTGTCCTCCTGTATCTGCCAATGTATCAAGTCTCACAGTCAGAGCTCACTAAACAACTGACATGCGCTGAATTACACGGGGAAAAAAGCAACTGTAAAACCGTAACCTTCCCAACTCCATCAAAATCCATCTCCCCATTTTGGGGATTTTGGTAGGCAAGCCATGGGTACCAAGTCCATCAAATCCACCTATAGACCATTAACATGTTGCGGCCATCTTGATTTTTTCCCATTCTAATCAACGTAATGGAAGGAAAGATAGTCTGGTTCCTTTTCAGTTGCACAAAAATACATTATCATTCAGTACTGTTATTGGGATACAGGGAACATGACTGAAATGGTGGCAGCATGATAAAGGTCTATAGTAGTGGTGGTCTTGTGGATTTCAGTGGATTTGGTCCTAAAGCATTATGTGAAGCAGGGTCAGTGATGGATTTTGGTGGACTTGGCCCAGTACTTAGTAAAAGACACTAGGGGGTTTAAGGGTAATGCTGATTGTTTTCATGTTCTCTCTGCGTCCTGTTGTTGCAGTTTGGTAGAAAAAAGAAAAAGTTCCGGGGAACACTTCCTCCTAAACCAACAGCTGTTGAGGAGACAAAGAAAGAGGAGGAAGAAGAGGAAGAAGAGAGTGGAGATGATGCTGATCTAGACGCCTATAATCTGGACTCGGATGTAAGCCTTAAATTAAGATTCAGTCTTAATTATTTAGTGCTGCTTAGGAGTCCACTCATTAAATATCGAGGATAAGTTGCGGGAACGTTTTTCCTAACAGGCTTTATTCACAAGTCGGCCATGTTAAATTGAAAGCGAGGTAAAATCTTCATTTTTGGAAATTGCGAATAAAAATGATAGTAATGAAATAAAATTAATTACAAATTAAGACCAGTCTTTTTGATGACTAATTAAAAACTTGTGATTACTTATACGCTTATGTTTAAAACCACATTAAAAAAAAAAAATGAAAGTGAAGCTTGGAACGCATAAATAGTCCGGCACCATCCCATTCAACAGTTTACCAAGATCTCTTTACACATACGTGATTTTATCGCAACGACTATGTCGCATGGCAATGTCGCACATGCACGTGTGTGAACGAACAAATGCGCGATATGTTGCACGATTTTTGAAATTACGTGTTGGCACGATAAGTCGCACGACTTTGGCATGTAAATGTAAACGTGCTCATTGATTTGTGCGTATATGTAAAAACGTGTGAAATTATTGCGTTACAAAATTGCGTATGTGTAAATAAAATTCAGGGAACATGATCAAAAATGGCTTCCCTGTGATTAAGGTCTATAGGCCCAGTGCAGCGGTTGTATGATGTACCCATAGAGCTATATTAAATTACTAGAGCGCTAACTTCATGTACAAAATAATGCCTGCTGGGCGCATCCATGTTTGTGCACAAACCTATGGAGACCTAGAAATTTTGTACGGCTTTTGTACGGCTATTTGCATATATCTGCATTTGTATTCCATACCGGTGCAATATCGAAGCCAATACACCAAAACCGAAACGCACGATCAGCAAATGAGCGTGTCATTTTGCTCGACGCAAACAGCGCACCGCGTGCCGTATTCGTTGCAGATGCTTCTTGCCGTCACGTTTTTTTGAACCGTCAAGGACGCGCTTAAGTTGTTTGCATATGTTCTACTTGCGTGTTGCATGTAGAGTACACTTTCAAAATTCAATCTATCTAATTTCATTATGTTCTACAAACACGCACATTAATTCAAAATGTCTGCGCCCAGGACGGCTTCAAAGTGTCTCCGCGCGCAGCATGATGAGTTAGCGCTCTAGTAATTTAATATAGCTCTATGGATATACCACATGCATCGGCATTTTGAGCGTCAAATTTCATGACGCGCATCGGCTGCCCCATATTTCGAAGAAAATTTGAGCAACACGCATGCGCGTTTGGAACATTTTGCACACTGCGCGCACATGCACCTGATGGCATTGAACACGCAGTTATAATTTTCCTACGAAGATGGCGTCCTGTGAGAAAGATCTATTGCAGAATTCTAAACAACTTCCCCGAAATCTTCCTGCAATTAAGTTATCAGCATTGCTTACAAACTGACAACTGAAATGTAACCCTAGACTAGAATCTATCCTAATCAAACTTAATACCAGAAAGGACCCGAGTGGCACATTCTTTGTACTGCAGACTTTCAAGGGACAACAATTTCTATGTGCTGTTACTTCTAAATCCTGCCAAGTCCTCCAAAATTCCTTGTGGCTTTTGAATTTTTTACTGGTATTATACATAGATTTCCGATATTTCTTTTTATCAGGATGATGATAATGATGATGCGGATCTGTCAAAGTATGACCTTGGTGATGATGATGACAGTGATGATCATTCCAAGTCAGCCTCCACCAAAGATGCCAAGAGGACACAGGATATCTCTCGGAGTCGCTCGTCATCTCGCAGCTCGGGCTCCTCAACATCTTCAAGCTCCCGTTCTTCCAAGTCCTCTCGGTCTAGGTCCTCTAGGTCTAGGTCCTCCAGCAGGTCCTCCTACAGCTGGTCTAGGTCCAGGTAACCATAGGGTCCAGAGATGCCTGCTGTTTAGATGCCTTCTTGCTGCTTCAACCAATTCCTCAAAATCCTCAAAGTAAAGGTCCACTAGGTCTAGGTCCTCTAGCAGGGCAAGCTTCAGCTGGTCTAGGTTACCATAGGGTCCAGATCTGCTGCTGCTAAGGTGCTATATTGCTGCTTCAACCCATTCTTCTAAGTTCCCTCAGTCTAGGTCCTCTAGGTCTAGGTCTTCAAGCAGGTCCAGCTACAGCCAATTTAGGTCCAGGTAAGCATAGAGTTCAGATTAGCCTACTGCTTTAGTGCCTTATTGCTGCTTGAACCCATTCTTCCAAATCCTCTTGGTCATCTAGGTATATGACTAGGTCGTCCAACAGCTAGTCTAGGTCCAGGTGACCATTGGGTCCTGACCTGCCTGCTGCTAAGGTACCATAGTGCCCCCTTGGCGTAGCTCCTCGAGGTCTTCGAGCAGGTCCTCCTAGGTCCAGGTAACCATGGAGCTCAGACCTGCCTGCTGTTTAGGTGTCTCATTGCTGATAGAATTCATTCCTGCAAGTCCTCTGAGTCTGGGTCCTCTCAGTCTGGGTCCTCTAAGTCTAGGTCCTCTAGGTCCCCCAGCAGGTCCAACTATAGCAGACTAGGTCCAGGTAACCATGGGATGCAGACCTGACTGCTGAAACGACACCATAGTTTGCTGCTTGAACTCGTCCTTCTAACTTCCCTTGATCTAGGTCCTGTAGTTTTAGGTTTTCCAGCCACAGTTTGCTTATGTCCAGTTTACAATAATAGTGAAACGATAACATTGGTGGTGAGTGCACTTGAACAGTTGTAATGAAGTAATCACAAGTCAACACAAGTCAATTGATAGTCATCCAATGTCAAGTCACCTGTTTAACTTTTCAGATGAACTGTGACAAAGGCATTCTTATGCATGGGCGTCGCCAGGATTTTTTCTAGAGGGGGGCAAAACATTTTTTTGCCAAAAAAGGCTTGTATTTCTCAACACATTCTCGATTTATCAGTTTTAGAGGGGGGCAGGGACATTCCCCCCCCCCCCCAACTCATTAAATTTACACCACTTTGTCTTCGCGCCTCTTTTTCTTTCCTTTTTTCTTTTCTTTTTTTTCTTCCTTTTTTTTTTTTTTTTTTTTTTGCTTTTCCAGGGGGGGGGGGGCAAGTGCCCCCCCTTGCCCCCCCCCCTCGCGACGCCCATGTTCTTATGCATGGTATGGGATCCGTGCACAAATACCCCATCAACGGCCAGAAAAGGAGAGCTAGGGTGACCTAAACTGGTTCCCGATCCATCCACTGCGTATTTCAAATGTATCCAAAGTTAGTGGGGGCGGGGATTAGTCTCGCAGACCATCGCAAGTTGAAATCAAACGTATTCGCGCGCCGACCACGCCTGACGCTCACACGAAGACGCGGTGGCTATAGCTTTTGCACATTCAGGAAATCGTGCGTACTTGGCGCGAACCAGTACAGTACAGTGCGCGCACGCTGTGTGTCCCGTCCACAGAGCTCTCAAAAGAGGTAAAAACGTGCCCTCTTTTGTTGGCGCACGGAGCCCATATATCCCCTGTGACTTACGATCTGACTAGTGATTTTACTTCATGTTCGAGTTGGTGGTGACTTGTGATTGACTGGATAAAAACTGTGGGTACCTGAGATAAGACCATCAGTGGGCTAGCAGAAGCTGATGGACCAAGGAAATGCTTCCATGTGAAACAGGCTTGTTCGTTAGCAAAATCAATGTTGTTATTGCTTCCACGTGATCTAGCAATAGTTGAAGTTCATCTTCCTGTGTATTGGCGAAACTAAAATTAAATCTTCTTTTCTGTGACAACAACTGTTTTTCCCTGATAGATCCCGGTCACGTTCGCTTGATCGGAAGTATGGTAGGCAGGATAGCTATGGCTCCCGTAGAAGCCCCAATCCACACAAGCGTCGGGACCGAGACTCCAGCTCGAGCTCCAGCGGGAGGAAAGACGATCACAAGCGCAAACGCCATCGTTCACGGTCTCGTTAAGCTACGGAGAAGGGATGGAAATGATTGGCAGCTCTGGTACCAGGTTTGGTGATAGGTTTAGCCTAGGTAGAACAAAATGTATGTGTCGATTTTTTTGCTCAGTTCAATTTTTTTATTCAGTTCTTTTATAGGGGTGTGCATTTACAGGTAGTATGGGAATCAGGTACCCGATTGAAAATATTACGTATACCCGTTAAAGAAACCAACCCCAAAATATATTGTCCATAAAGGTCCGCACGATTATACTACCACATTGGTGCGTTGATACAGCAAGATACAAGTGTGTACAGTGAGCTCAATAGGCCTGTATGTAATGTAGCTTTAAGTTGCATTTTCGCAAGCGTCATGAAGGTGAATCTGTTTTGTTTTTCCATTAAGTAAGTAAAGTCTGTCCCGAGCCAATGTGGCTCATCAGGCCGGCGTTTATCTCCGGTTTCAGTAGCATGAAACGACTGAGAATATTTCTACTCCCCCTGGAAGGGGTGCTAGTCCAGCGCAGGTTACTCCCCAGCTAATGCCGGTACCCATTTATACTCCTGGGTGGAGAGGGGCAAGTGGGGGTGAAGTGCCTTGCCCAAGGACACAATATATGACCAGCGGCTGGATTCGAACCCCGGACCCTCTGATCATGAGTCACGAACCCTAACCACTAGGCCACACACTCCCCATTTTCCATTAAGGCTGGTTTTCATTTTGAAAATTCTCCCAAAAAAATGATGTTTGAAACCTTTCTTGTTCATTGCCTGAGAAGTTACTAAGTAATATGTAAAGTTGGTTACAGGTACTCGATTCCATAATCTGGAACCGGTTCCTGGCATCAACGGTCGGGTGCTCGGGTACCCGGTTCCGATGCACACCCCTGCTCCTTTAGTGAGAATGCTGATTTGAGCAGAATCTGATTTTAGGCCTGAATTTCATCTAGTACGCAAAAAAAAGGAGACAAAGTGATATTTGGTGTTGCAGAGTATAAACTACATTACTGCTTTAACCCTAACTCCCTGTGCATTTTTGCAAGGATGCAACCTCAGCCTTGCAGAATCCTCCAACTGCCTCCATATAAAAATTGCATACAGACTCAATCCTCCAAAATCATCCGTTATTTCTTGAATGTGGTCCTTGGAGGGGTGACCACTGCCTCAATCCTGCAAATTCGTCCAGTAATCACTGTCAGTGTGTTGAGGCAGAGCCAGTGACATATTGGAGCAGTGCGGAGGATTTCAAGTATAATATAGGCCTAAATTTATGCACGGCTGAGCATAAACAACACAAGGTCCGGCCCAAGACCTTGACACAGTGCATCCTCCGAAATCAGCTACACATTTTTGTCATATAGCCTCAATCCTGCAAAATACTCGATTTTGCAAAGAGCATTTTGGAGGATTGAGGAAGGTTAGGGTTAATCTTAAGGTTAGGGTTAATCCTGCCAACTATGGTGTGCAAAGTGCCATTTTATTGGACAAGTGACAGTGTGTTTTAAAATTGTTGGCATCTCGCTTGTTACGTTTCTGGTGAAGGATTGTGCAGATACAATGAATGAGTTAGATGCAAAGGAAAGCAATGTTCATTTGATTCTCCATTGGTATTTTATGCTTAGACGCTTTCCAAACCCTCGAAAATCAAACTCTACTCAAAATCAGTGGCACATTCTTGTTAAACAAGGGGACGTCAAGCCCTATGTAAAGTAATTTCAGCTAAGTGCCGTACAGTGCTTTATCAATCAAAATACTTGCAAAACCAATCACTAAAATTTGAATAGTTAAGATAGTTAGGGTTAATTAGCTCAAGGATTTTTTTCATCAAACGCTGTCTTTTCTTTATTTCTTTCAGGACATCCACTGGTACCAGCTGCAGCGCACTGCAAACTCAGCCACAAACATAGCAAACAAGTAAGGTTCACATTACTCCTTTCTAGAATCCATGCTTTTTATACCTTGATATCACCATAATTATGTCTTGTTCCTTTCTTGTTATATGGGTAAAGATCACCACAACCTTGTTGATAAGATTCTAGTCACCAGACTTAATTCGGCATCAACCTCATTTTGAACCTTATGCTGTGGCTACATCAGGCATATTCTGCTGATTGCTTTTACATAACCATGGGACAAAAACAAACCATCAGAATGAAATACCCTGCACAGATCCCTTGAAAAAGTCTCCCTTTTTCGTTTTTTACTCTGTGCTTTTCTTTATACTTTTTGCTTGCTCTTTTCTTTTTAGCATTGTGTTGATAACGTTGTATTAAAATTGATATTCAGTATTAAAGTGTAACAGATTTGCGATCCATAAGCATCTCAGCTGTCTAGTTCGTGCTGCAATTCCAAAGATTTTTCTGTTTTAAAATATGTTTTTACACTTTCTTAAAACTATTTTTGTCAAGAAAGAATAATTTGTCTTGTTAAAGCCAAGGGAACAGACCATCGGTGGTGAAATTTTAATGTTACCGTTGCATAGCATCAACCATGAATAACTTTTATTCATTGAGTTGTGGCACACGACTGTCACACTGCTTTTTCTCTTCAACAATTGCAAATAATGAGCTGTGGAGTTGGAAAACTAGCTTTTTGGGGTAAACACCTAGTTTGGAAAGAATCCATCGTCATCTTTCAAATGTTACCGAAATCAATGCGTTTCTGTTCTTTTTTATTTATTTGTTTGTTCTTTTTCCCCTGAAGTCAACCAAACTATGTGCTTAATTTCCATATAAACAGGCAAAGGTTGACAAACTGAAATTCACAATTTGGGAAATAGCAATCGTCCCTAATTTCTCAGAACTGAAGGAGAACACATGTACTTCAAACTACAGTATTCATTTTTGATTGAAATTTCCGCCTGAATAGTTCGAGCTTTTACTGCCTAATGCAAATCGACATTCGTAACTTTACAGCGTATTCTATGGTGTGTGTGTGGAGGGAGGGGGTCCTAATATTGATTGTTCCTTTTGTCATTTTTTCTGATTTACATGTATGATGAATTGCTCAATCTTTTCCTGGATCAACCTAGGATAGTTTTTTTTTTATTTGCAGCAAGGCTTGATATAAATTTAAAAAAATTGTGTAATAATTTTGATAATAGTGCAACTGAAATGAAGCAATGTGATCCAAATTTCTGCTGACGTCTTTTTCTAAACATGCCAAATGAATTACATGTAAGGCTGCACATTTTGTTAGATTAAACCTGACAAAATGACCGTTATTGCTTAAAGGTGCTTTGTATAAAGCGTTGCACACCTTGGAAGAATGTCAGAGACTGAAATTTAGCATTCTTAAAACTTATTACCTTAAAGTTCTTACATGTTTAAAGGGATGAAGTAAATTCATAAGAATATTGAGCATCGTATGTGATGGCTGGCTATTTTTGAATATGGCTGTAAATACATGTAGCTTGGCAGTTAACGATACGTGCATACGTATGCTTACTTGAGCCATTTTGTGGAAGATATGCCGTTTTGATCAAAAGTCCCCGCAAACACTGTAGCCAGGGAGGGTACAGCATAATGAGCATATACGGCCTTTCACACTATCCCAAATCTCTGTGTTGATCCCGGGTCCAACACACAGATTTCGTGAACCCTTTTTCACACTGGCAAGAAATCCAAAATCTGTAGCTGACCCGTTTACAGACTGGTGTGAGTGTGAACAGTAGTCTTGCATACCTGTGTTTAATTGGGCCCCGTTCCACTTACTGTTGACCCTGTCGATTTCAACACAGGAAGGCAAGATGATTGTGTGAATAGGCTTTATGTCCTACATTTGTCCTTTATGTCTTACTTTTGATCCTAAATTACTCTGTTGTTTAGCACTGGAATTAAACAAAAAAATCAGATCATGTGAGACAAGGCACGAAACATTTTATGGAACATTACGAATTTCTCCCATTTAAACGAATCCGAGTTAGACCTTTCTAACTCGGAAAGAAAACATCCATTCCTAAGTGACAGCTCCCCCCAATGGACATAAATTTAATACCCCCTTGTGGTGGTCAGCCCAAGTATATATGGCCTATTGACCTCTACAGGTACACCATATGCCACGTGGGTAACGAGTAATTGACTGATTTGTTTCATCCACTGATGGTAGTGGTCACTATTGCAAACCACCAGCTTTTATGTGTAGGATTATAAAAATTGACTAGAAAACCTTGAAGACAAAACGGGCAAGAAAATTCTCAATTGGAAGTCGGGTTCAGGCGATTGATGAGTTAGAAAGATGGTGTGCTGCTACGGTACATGTAGTCAGAGATGATAATGATAGGGGTCATCTAGTGAGTTTTACGGGATATATCCTGGAGATGATATCTGGGTGGATGAGGATTCGATTAGACATCCAATACTTCACTATGAAGAGCAACAGAGACGTAAGTAACATGTTGAAAAATAACATCCCCTGCATTAATTAGTTGTAGGCATATCAACAAACTGTAAATGAGTGGATATTTCACCCCTTCTCATATACTCAATCAACTTGATTGGAAAATAAATATCTAATCAACAAAAGGATACTTGAAATTTATGAATACCAACAATTAACATCTGACGCAGAGTTCACGATGAACAATCTTATGTACCGTATCAAAAGAAAAACCCCAATTTGATAGGATCAGTAAAATGGCATCATTTTATTTATTTACTAGTAGGCCTAAGCAACATTTTGCATGATGGATAAATATTTCCTGTGAAATTTGTTGTGATACAGAATTCTTACATGTATTTTCTTTATCAGAACAACATAAAGGCTATGAAACCCCAATAAACCTAATAGAAAAATATTGGAAGGTTGTCCCGTATTGGTCAATTATGATCATGTACATGAATATCACAAAATGCCATTTTGAAGCAAGGTTAACAATAATATGACATTTTATGTTTGCATCTAGACCTTTCTGGCAGAACAAGGTTAACCAAACCAGTGCATGAATACATGTACACCAATATTCCCCAATAAATACAAAAAAAAATACACCACTACGTTTGAATATTTTGCTTTCGGTGAACATACAGCTTTACGTTTGAATATGTTATTTTTGGGTGAATGTTATCCTGATGTCAATTATCATCATTACAGAAAGCTGCAGGCAAGCCTCCACCAAAAGAAGACAGTGTAAGACTAAGAGGAAACACTTGCAGTTTTTGAGAGAGTGCCAGCAAGACGATCTGGTTGAAACAGTTGATGGCAGGATGATTTGAGGAATGGCAATATTCAAACAGTGGATCCCTTCAAAAGGCTTATTTTCCTGCAAGACAAAGCTGCAGTAAGCCTTGATAACATTTCATTGCCAGGTAAAGATTACTCAGACCAATTTTTGTAATGAATCAAGAGACAGTAAACTAATGGCAAGTTGACTCTGTAACGGTCATGATTAATTGAATGGTTGTTACCTGGTATACAGTTTTTTAAGGCAACACTAAGGGACAGTCAACAAAAGTGTACCATGTCCTCGTCAATGAGCAAGAAAAAATTAATTCCAAGAAATTTCCAAATATTGTAAGATATTCGGTTGCAGAAAACAAATTCATCTTTGATGCATTATTGAAAGCTAACGATTGCATGCCGGACCTAACAAACTACTCAGGAAAAATTAATCAGCAACCAACACTTCGTGACAAACATTTCTGTAAGAAAACACGTATGATAAGTCTCATTAAAAAAAACAAAGAAAAGTACATGTAAATCAAAACAGTCTCAGACTGTTTTAAATTTGCGTAAAATAAAATACTTTTTTCAACATTAAGATTGTAAGGCTTACATTCTTAATGTAAAAAGTATTTTATTTTACGCAAATTCAAAAAGAAAACATCATTTAAGTACTCACAAGGTTTCATTCCCTGAACAAGCAAAGTTATTTCTGCAAAGAGTATTCAGAGCTGTCTAATATTGAAGAACACAAATATCTGGAAATGTGGAAAGCGAAGAAGTGGCTGAGCATCGAACAGAAAAAGCAAACAACTACAGTAGACGATAACAACTCTGCTGTTGCTCATTTATACAAAACTCTTTAATTTAAAATTCTGAACAAAGAATAGTTTCATTGTAATTAACATTTGGAATTATACGTCATAAAGCCTGATCTTTTGAAAAGGACAGAGATCGGAATGCATCTTAAAAGAAAAATCACATAGGTCAGTTCCAACCAAGTATTTTTTTTTATAACACCGATTAATCAACAGTCTACAGATGGTATTACTTTCTGAGTTTCAGGGCTATAGCTGTCATGGAATTAACATGTGCCTTATACATGTACATGTACTTGTACATGTACATGTCCAAAGAGATTTTCCGTTTGAAATTTCGCAGGATATTTATAATGCAATAATTCTGATTTTGTTGCTTGGGGTAGTGCAAGTGTACATTGCTTATATAGACTTCATGTTCTACAAAAAAGGCCCTTATGAATCGTACCGTTGATTGTACTTATTCTAGCAAAGTATTTCACAAATGCAAGACTCTTAAGTCAGTGATATATATTGCTTGGGCTTGGAAGTTTTATGAATCAATTTATTTATTTTTTGAATTGATGTACTTTGTTTTAGAGTATCTTTACAATTAATTTTCATTATATACAGAGAATCTGGTGATTGTCTTTTCCCCATGTAGCTCAGATACTTAGTCATCATAGCATCATATGGCCTAAGTTGTTGTAGATTTCAACCCTAAAAGAACAGGGTTATTTTGACCATCTCTCAGCCGGGGGGGGGGGGGGGGGAGGATTCCGCCCCCCCCCCCAGATCTCGGCCATCGAGTGACACATTTTTAGAAACTCAGTACATGCATAGAGCAACTCTTCCTAAACATACCCAAGAAATGTCATGACTATAGGTTAATAAGTCATGGAATTATGGCTAATTAATTATTCATATGTGCGAATGGCAATTGTGCTGTGTGCATGACGTATATGGGAAATTCAGTTTTCACGGCGCCTAGCGCCGGACAATATTTTTTCGCTACACGGCAACCCGTGGTCCGATTTTTTATGTTTTTGGTATCAAAAGGTGCGCAAAGCTCGAGGCTAAAAAGTCATAAACAGCTCGGGTTGCGTAAAAATTTTTTTGAGGCTATCAAGGAAAATGTTGAGGGGGGGGGGCCGGATTCCGCCCCGGCCCTTTTAGGGTTAAGATATTTTAAGCGTGTCTTGTGTGTACATGTATTATGTTACAATAATTCTTTTCAATTATGCTCTTGTGTCTCTTCCTTTACTCTTTATGTGCAACTAATAATCCTTTTCCTTGCTGCAACATCAATTTTGAACAATTTGCTGAGTTGTTTTTTTTTTGTAAAAACATAGAAT